GTTACTGATATGAGCCAAATGGTAGCCGCATCAGGGTCCAAGCCGGACTGTTGCAGCCTTGTTGGCCCCCAACAATAACCCTAGCATCGCCAGCAACAAACTCAAATCCGGAATAGTAGTAAACGCCTTGCACTCTATATAGCATGCTATTAATAGCAGACTTGCATCCGTCAATTAGAGTCACTCTGAGGTATATACTGAATGGTAGAAGCCACCCGAGATTGTCTGGCAGGCAGGCAGCATGTTTACAGCGCAGAAATATCAATACAATTTGTGCCAATATGCGCGCGACAGAAAAAATTGATAAAGATAGACTCACAGTCTCCTATATTTTACAACGTATGCGAAAGAATCAAAACTGGTTTATTTTGAAGTTCTTGATAATTCAAGTTATGACCTTGGCCCCAAAACCGCCGTCGGGTAGGCTGTACAACATGGCCTTTGAGAAAGAATGGTTAATAAGTCGAAAGGTCTCTCGAATCTATCTAGTCAAAAAGACTTTGCTCTTCCCGTGATAATATTTTCCTCGGAGTCCTGAAAACCTTCCTGCCAGACAGTGTTGGAGAATCCCAGACGCAGACCATAGTAGGGATAGTTTGGACTCAGAATTTGCGGGAGATTGCCCAGGCAGGTCGCACTGTTGGAAGAGAGTATGTCTGCGTGAGAAGGACACTTTGATCGATCCTCAGCTGGATGGAATTTTTATTAGTGTGCACTGAGTAGATTCTGATGAACCCGCATCTAAGTTAGCCTTCGCGAATCGACGGTGTATATAACCCTGTGTATATAGCCCTGTGCTCGGAAAGATCAGCCGCTGCAGCATGGCTTCGAGCATGTGATGCGTTTCCCCACCGTTGCTCCGAGCCCGAATAAACTAGGTGGCCATGGATCGAGTCAATTCAAGGAGTACTTCCTGGTATGACGTCTTGTTTTCTTCCAGCCGACTGTCCATCTCCAAAGTTACAACGGATGCCTAAAGAACCAAGGGCTGGAACAAGAGACAGGCTGATGTGTAGGCAGAAGAATAAAGTGGACATTGACTCACTCATGAAAGAAAAAGCCCGAGTGATGATAAAGAAGCACCAGCTTTAGTTGATAGTCGCAGGGTCCAATCGATCTCAAAGCCCAAGCGTCGGAAATAATTGGACAAGCATTCGTTCATCCCTGCTCAGGTAGAAGCAGCTGTCTCCTCAAAGTCATCTCAGCCTTGCGATATGCCAGTATATTTGTCCGACGGGTGGCGGGGGAATCCCGCTCCGGCGTTTGCATGATCGCGTCTGATCTCATTCGATGAATATAAATGATTGCAAGAGAGATGGAAAGAGCATCAGATCGTCAAAGAAATCAAGAGATTTCACCGGCAGTATGGACTCCATAACAGCGACCAACTCTAAAACCTACCCACTTGAAGCTCTGGTAGGTAGACCGCATAAAGCTCGGATAAGGCATAGTTCTAACCACCCCATAGCTGGCAACCGACAGAGACCAGCGTGAGCCTGTCGAATTGCGAGTTACAGGAACATTTCCACCGCTTCTTGCAGGCACATTGTATCGCAATGGACCCGGCACTCACCGTGTCGACTCGAAAACAGGGTCGTATGCTCGTAGTCATTGGTTTGACGGTTTCGCACTGCTGCGTCGATTCCAGATAGTTCCCAAAGATGGCAGCAACTGCCGCGTCTTCTATAACTCTCGATTGCAGGTTGACGCGTTGATGGAAAAAGCACGCCGCACTGGTGATCTCAAGGAAGTCACATTCGGCCAAAAGAGAGACCCGTGCGAGTCGTTCTTTCAGAAGATGAAGACCGTCTTTGAGCCGACTGATTCTCTGTCTGATCCTGATCCACAGATGGTTAATTCAAACGTCACTGTGTTCGCCAACATGCCCGGCATGCTGAAACATGGCCCTACTGTACCGGCATCCTCGCAGTTCAAGGTGCTCACCTGTCTTACTGATGCAAACCAAATCACGCATGCAAATCCGGAGACCCTCGAGCCAATTGCTGCGAGCACACAAGAAGAGCTTCACCGGGATCTGAAGGTACTACTCTTCTCCGTGATTCTCCCGCGGCAGGGTTGCAACTAACTGCGGATAAGGGACAACTCTCCTGCGCACATCCGCAATTCGACCCCAAAACGGGAGATGTATACAATTACAACCTGCACCTGGGCCCTAGGAGCACCTATCGCATATACCACACTTCGGCACATACATCCAAAACAGAAGTCATTGCCACATTCTCAACCAAAGCAGCCTATATCCATTCCTTCTTCATAACACAAGACTACATCATCCTCTGCGTCTGGCCCTCCTACTTCAAAGGCCTTGGGGCGTCCATTCTCTGGGAAAGAAACATGCTCGACGCAATGAAATTTGATTCAACTGCCCAGACGCACTGGTTTGTCGTCGACCGCAAGGGCCACCGAGGTGTCGTCTCCAAGTTCGTCAGTCCACCGTTCTTCGCCTTTCACACGATCAATGCTTTCCAAGAGCCTCGGGACAAGAATACCGTGGATATAATCTGTGATATGGTGCAGTACACCAACATGGACGCCCTGCACCGAACCTATTACGAGGACCTGCTGTCGCCCAATGGCGAGGTTTCGAATTTCACATTGAAAAGGTCCGAAACACCCATGACCGTCCGCTATCGTCTGCCACGAGTGCCCAAGGAGTCAACGACCAGAACAGTTGTCGCCGCGGAACGAGTTTTTGGATTTGAGTCTGGTGAACTCCCAACGATCAACCCGCGATTCGCTACCAAAAGAGCACGATACCACTATTGCGTCGTTAACCGAGGATACACCTCCTTCTTTGATGGAATCGGCAAGGTTGACCTCGAGACGCAAACAGTCCAGTACTGGGGTAGTGAAACAACGCCCCATACGCCCTCCGAGCCGATTTTCATTCCCGATGGCACTGGCGAGGCCGAGGATGCGGGATATCTTCTTAGTGTGGTATTGAATGGAGAAACAGGGACGAGTTACCTGGTTTGTCTTGATGCGAGGACGTTGACCGAGGTCGGCAGGGCTGAACACGACCACGCGATTAGTTTCGGGTTGCATGGAAGCTATTATTCGGCGGTTTGAGTATTATGCAACTGGTCTGTGTATCAATGCTATTAATATTAATAACGAAGATTATGGGTTGTCGCAACTGATAAACGCGGTGCCTCAGTACCTCAAGCTCAGAATCGCAGTCATTAACTGTTCTCTGGACAGACAGTCATGTAGACAGCTCTTGTTTAATGCTAGTTCCCACAGTGGACGTCTCCCCGTGGACTGTTCCTGCTAACACTGATGATGTTCTAAGCTGGTTAAGGATGCTTGACACAACAAAGACAATGAGAACAAGACATCTAATATCCACCAGGAGTGCCTGCATCAATGTTTCATGGAAGGCTGACTCTAGATACAATATATCCGCATTGAAGGCAGCTCTGCCAAACACTCATTCTCATATACGTTTTTATCATCCTTTATTTGCATTATCTCTCAGCCGTTCCATACACTCCCGATGTCGTCGTCGTTGTAGTTGTTGTGATGGAGTCCAAATATCATTTCCCAGGCTCAATTGGGAAAAGAACGATTAACCCTCTACCACGGGCAGTCAGAAGAGGTCCGTCACAGGGGCCTCAGAGCCGTCAGTGCGGCGCTCAAATTGTTCAAGTATTGCGATCTATCTTTGTATCGAGTGCAAACTGATGACGTATCATGTGTAGCCATTTGTCTTATTGTCAGCTCCCAAAGTCATTACTCTCTGATCCATCCTGTTGGGCCTCCGTCTGCCATTCAACCCAGTCTCAGTCTACACATGTACCATGATAGATCAGTATGATTCCAAGCAAGAATGTGTACAACGGGAATAACTCATTTGTTTATGAACATACCTCATTCATGAAACGTACCAACAACAAGACTCGGTATTAACTAAAGCCATCATGTGCGGCTGTCATCTTCAACAAAGTAACGGAGAGAGATGTCGTTTCTTTTTCAAGTAGATACCGCAGAGCAGTCGGAATGTTCGAGGAAATAGTTGGTACTTGATCGTAGTTATCCTTCCTCGATCTAACGAACGTGGGCAGATTTCGTGTGTCGAACAAGTGCATTTGCAACCGCCGTTTCACTGTTCAAACCTCTGGCCAGAAAGCCCCAGAATCAGGAGGAGCCGAGAACACAGATGAGCCATTTGAGTCATGCCTATAAATAGGATGTGAGTCCCGGTATTATACGATGGTCTTCGAAGGATAGATGTATCGACTTACCACCTCCTGCTTATCAGCGCTCTAAGACGAGCGATTGCTGCAATAACAAGCAGTATCAGGAGCAGGATAGCCAAAAGAGTCTGATCCATGATGTCTATTGGATAAATGAGAGGGGCTTTGTAGTTCAAGTTATATGCAGTAAGTCCCTTTGATGACACCCTTTCTGTCTAGCTGCAAGATACTGTAGTTGATGGAAGAGTTTGAAGGAAAGGGAGGGAGTATGAGGAGATTATACACATATTTATATGCCGGAAGTGAATGTGTAAATTTGATACACAGCCCTATATAGTGAATGGGATCTACCTGTTTATGGGAAGTTCCGATAGCGACACGGCTTTAGCCGTTATATAGGGCTATTATTCTTCACTATACTAAGACATTAAGGTGAATGAAGAAGATTATCTTTACGTCTCAAGTAATATAAGCATTGTGGTATACATAATGCACCTATATTTCTAAGTAATGGATTGATTGAAGCACTTCTAGTAAGTTAATACCAGAATAGTCCAGGATATCTAACCTTACAGACACGTTTCCGAGTTTATCAGAAAATGATGGCTGAATAGCGGATCTCATCTTTGACGCCGCCAAGTTGTGTCGCCATTATGACATAACCCAGACACATCATCGATGAATCTTGCCCTCTCCTCTGTAACAACTCATCCCACGATATATTTCACCGGTTGAAGATTTCTTTTTAGATATAATAAAACATTGGCTATATATCTACTTACCATGTCGTCGCGTCGAACCACCGATCCTCATCGACCAGTCCGCCCCTCGATCCCCATGGGAACATGGGTCCTCTATGGCTGCGGCGCAGGACTGCTCGGCGTAGCAGCGTATGTCCTCTCTCCCGAGTCCTGAAATCAATCTAACTGGAGAAAAGAATGACCGTCGGAGAAAAAATTGAACAAGTCTTTACTGGACGGCCCAATTCCTATGTCCCCGGCCACACGCTGGAGCGACTACTGGCTTTGCCTCCCCGACCGGACAACGAACGCTGGGGACTAAATATGGCAATGCATTACGGACAGGGCGCAGTTGCGGCCGTCATTCGAGCATTCATGAGCATCAACGGCATTCGAGGACCGTTTGCCGACTTTATGTTCGTCGGCGTCCGGTTGACGATTGATCAGACGCTGGAGAATTGGACGGGAGTCGGCGCTCCTCCGTGGTGCGTATCGTGAACATTGGCAGTATTGCTGCATGATTACTGACGAATGTGTAGGACGTGGCCAGTCAATGAGCAGGTCATCGATGTACTGCATAAGGCAGTCTATGCTTTCGTGACTGGGTACTTGACAGACAGATGGCTGCAATGAGGTTTTCAGTTATATCGAATTGCGTGTATGTTATTAGTCAAGGCGGGAACAAATGCTACATGAGTTCAGATGGATGTATCACTGATTAATGTCGTAGACGCGAACGCCGTGAATTTGTGATGACGACACTCGCGAGAGTTTCCATATGTACTCCGATAGCTCCATCTTGAAGAAGCATACAGTATCGTATTGCATTTGGCGATTGGGGAGTAAGACCAGCCTTCAGGAACTTTATACGATATTTAGCAAACATATCAAGCCTCTATTTTGCAAAGACTCTGAGGAGGAGTTCCAACTGGTGATGCCATTTTCCTTTGAAAGAATCGTTGGATATATTGCAGGTCGCAAGCTTGCAGACAGAGAACGATATGACAAGAACCTCCGACAGGCTTTCGAAGGCGGCTCAGATTGAGACATTATCTTCCAAGTGTTACTCTCCAGAACCTCTTAGTTCCCGCTTCTTGGAACTGTTCCCTCATAGCTGACCCAAGCTCCCATCCCCTGGGAAGTGAGTTGATCACGGTTGGGCCTCGATATCAAGCTAGCGAGAATAGATGCAGGTAAGCCTGACGAGTAAGTGCATCGAAACGAACGACACCATGGCTAGCTAATCTTTTGCGACTGCGCACATATATTTCATCCATAATCATATGCAGACTAATTCGTCTACACCACTACTGAAGAAGCGCCCTGTTTGGAGCTAAGCGGGACTTGCATTGACAGTCAGCTTTGCTACTTTCTTGAAACGAAGCAATTGGCTGGAACCATTTCAAGGAATAATAAAAGGTTGTTGAAACCACAAGCTTTCCATTATTCTGAAAGCAGGGCCTCCTGACGCGGTTGAACCATCCATATCATTCATCCTCTAGACTCGCAAGCCTGGTCTGTGCACTCTCGAACATGCAGATTGCGTGGATAAAAGCATAACTGGCTAGATTTCAATTGGTCAATAATGATAGTACGGCAGGAGCTGGAGCTGGCGAGATTATTCTGTTGTGTCCAACTCTAGGGTGTTTCGTGCACTGAATTTCAGGCGTGCTTCGAAGGCGTTCGTCACAGCTTGGAAGGCACATAAATGTCTTGCTGGCAGATCTCGTATGATATTAAACTGTATATGCTAGGTTCCTTTCATGTCGTCGCTTCATACCCATCCAGTAGGCGTAGTCTAGATGTTCATGCAGGTCTAAACGTACATCATCACCAGTCATGCAAATCCCGTCCGCGGCAAGTCATATAATGAACATTCCCTGAGTGTGCACACAAAAACCAGAACCTAATGCTCAAAATCTGTCGAGTATGCAGAACAGAACGCGTCAAAAAAGTAGCTGAACCTCGTACCCGGTTCTATGTTCCTCTCCCTCGCCCTCTCCATCGCTGCTCACCGGAGCAGGAACCTCGGTAAATTGGGCGATCATATCTTGTCCTTCGGGGATTGCTCCCACGACGTCATCGTCGACGGCGACGCGTAGACTGTTCGGATTGATATGGACGAGACTGAGGATACGGTCTGGTTGGACGTTGTATTTTTTGGATAGTTGATCTATAAAGTCGGATGCGGTTCGCTCGGTGAGGTATACGGCGCGGTAGTAGGGTTCCTGCTGCTGTTTGTCCTGGAATCGGACGTAGAAACATGCCACTGCCTGTGGTCAGATGGTATATCAAATCAAATAGTGCTGGCAACTTACCATGCCGAGGGCTGGATGACCGATCACCGGTATCCGACTCAGGTGAAGACCGACCATTTATATCGCTGAGGCCCGGATCAGGGGATTCCACCTTGGGCTCAACAGTACTTGCATCTCGGCCGAAAGGACGACGTGGAAGCTCGACCAGATCGCCATGAAAGTTGACCCCTGCATCAGTCTCGGACGCGCTGTCACGTCCAAGAGACACAGGGGTGGACGAGTCCCGAGGAAGAGAAACTGGTGATTGGTCCGGATCATCCAGCACATCGCCCTGCAGTGAGAGCAGGCTAACTGGCTGGGAGGACGAAAAGAGGTTGCGCAGCTCGAACAAAGCCCGGTGCAAATCGTCTATGCCCGTGAGGCTGTTGGAACGGCTGGGAGAGAGGCTCATCGAGACAGTATGATTCTTGGTCAGTCCGTGTCCCACGCCTTTTCGCCGTTTCCGCTTTCCCAGACCATTATTGCCGTCGATATCTCCCTGCGCGATTTGCCGTTCAACCTTGTGAATCGCTTTCTGCACATGCGCCACATCGTTGGACAGCTTTCTTTCCGCTCCGTGGTCGCGAAACACCTTGACCTTGCAGTAGCAAATCTCGGCTTCGGTGCCAGATCCCGGCGCAGGAGTGCCATCCTCGAGGCCAATCATCTCCGTTTTGACGCATAACCTCGTCGGAACGCCCTTGACACCCTTGGATAGACTGAAATCCGTCGACAAAAAGTTCAAGCGGACGTTGACCACGCACTCGGAAGAACCGGCTTCCGGAGTGCTCGTCCAGGTTACACAGAACCCGTCAAACGATGCGCTGTCCACCTTTTTGATCCGCGGCGCGTTCTTCTTCGATCCCATACGCAGGTCCACAAACTCCAATGCTCGCATCTTCCCCCCTCGTTGCTGCGCCTCGACCGCCCCTCGCGCTTCCTTCCAGAGTCGCCAGCACCGGGCTGGGTTCGATCGGTGTGCTGTTTCCTCAAAGGTGATTCTCACACTCGTGCGATATTTGACGGGTTGTGTGCCGTGCGCCGGGGGTGTAGAGTCGACAATGGATACCGAGTATGACTGGGACTTGTTGAGATAGGTGACTGGTGGTTCATGCGCATGATCCGCGATAGCGGTGGGAGCGTGGAGGGTGACACGATAGCGGAATCTAGATTGTTACAATAGGGCGAGTCAGCAAGCAGTGGGCCGATTGTAGTCGTCGAAGTGGCAGTGGACTTACGGATTCTCTGGCTTCGACGGGAAGTCCGCGCGGTCGACCGCGTCCGACGCCACCGGGAGGAGAGGCTGCGCGACATGTCCCAACATTTCTGTAAATGAATCTCGATGGCTTGCCGTATCCAATGGATCGTAGTCTGAGTTTGCCCCGAACGAGACGTTGCTCGGTAGTATGTGGTTTGATGCAAACGGGTCCATGTTCTGAAACAGATGGTGCTGGTATTGCGACTGCAAAACCGCCACGCCTCGGGTTGCCGTCGCCGCGTGTCCATGTAGTTGTTGTTGTTGCTGCGGTGGCGGGTGTGGGGGTGGTTGTTGGTCCTGAAGGTCTGACTGTACGCTGACCATCTGATCCCATATCCAAGGCGTGCTGGCCAGATTCCATTCTACAGTTGGGGTGTGAAGGTCCCCTGCAGGACTATGGACTACGGCGCACATCTGATTAGCAGTGGGAGTAAGAAGGCCGGCTTGCAGGGCTGAAGGAGCGACAAAGTCGACTACGTTCGGATTCGCCTGGTGATGGTTGAACTGGGGATGGTATGGTTGTGATGGAAGTATGGAGGGATCTGCGACTTTCGCATCGTTGTGCTCGACTGACGCCTGTTGTGTGAGAAAGGGGTCTGCGATGACCTGGGAAAACTTCTTTCGAAACTCCCCGATCAGCTCTGCTCCAGGCTTCTGCTTCGTCCTGCTGGTGGTTAGACTCGAGGATGATCTGAAACCCCGTTCCTATGCCAGAGAAAAACAAACCTTTTGTCAAACATTTTCCTCGCTTCGACGTGGACGTGTTCCGACGTCGAAGGGCCTCACGAGTCACAAACAACGCGACAGACACGAGGATTATAAAAGAACAGTGGCAATTTTTTTTATTAACAGTCAGAATTTAACCCACGCGGCAGATATCAAGTCTGGAGATGAAATGAGTGACGTCCTCCGAGCGAACAACGAGCGAAAGGCGAAAGCATCCCCCTCGAGTGATGAAACAACGGGGAGAAAGAGGGAACACAGCTGGGATCTAGATGGCTGGAACGGGAAAATTTGGATGGCACAGGCGTTTTATCTGATCCCTGGGTCCCGTTCAGGCCAAGTCAGGGTCACAGACAAACAGGCAAACACCAGGACCACTGGACATGCTGGGTCTCAAAAAGAAGGTATGGATGTAGAGCTACTACTACCTTACTACTATGAGAGGCGGACAGTAACTGGGGATCAGCGGTGGGAGGGGGGAAAAGAACGAACGAGGGGACACGGACTCGGTTTGGTAATATTTAATATTTAACATTTAATATTATTTATTATTAGCATACAGGTATTTTAATATGAAATCATAATTTATGACCCATCTATTCCCGCTTTACCATAATGATAATATTCTGCAAGAGAGTAAAGGTATCGATAGTTACTACTTACTGCCGAGTCATCTAGAAGTCGTGCTGAGAGCGTCGTGTGAGTGGAAGAAGCGTGAATAACCAGTGGGGCCTTTCCTCTAGCCTCGTGGACAGCAGCAGCAAAAAAAGGTCGCTTGATTGGAACGGAAGTTCCAGCCGAGAGAGGAAGTGCAAGAACTGAGCCCAGGATGGTTAAAAGGGAAAAAAGAAAAAAGGAAAGGGAAAAAATAAATAGTTCTGTTCCTTGATCCCACTCAAGTTATGCAAGGGGTCTTTGCCCTTTCGGAGAAGGCGATGCCTTTCACTGTCGCCGGTTCGGGGTAGATGGACAGATATGTATTAGTATTGGAGAAGAAGTCTAGACCTGCTTGCTTTTGCCACAGGTTGCCTTTATATTTTTATCTATGGAGAATTTCCTCTATTGGGAGTACTGTTCGATATTGACATTCCTCCCCGAGGTCTGGATATCTTTTTGATCTGTCGCATCAGATCTCTAGATCTTTGCCACTTCCGATTCCAATGTTGCTGCACATTCTTAACACTCAAACGGGCTCGCTTATGGCAAATTTACTACCACTAGCATTCTATTTTCACCAACAATGTGGCTTGATCTGCCCCTAGATTCGACATGTGGTGTAGTTTATCCTTGGCAGAAATATATACTCCGCGCATGGCCAAGGTCAACTCAACGCCCCTAGCTGTCAGCAGGATTCTGTAGAGGAATCATGCTATAACGGGCCAGGTACAGTCGATTGACCTGCTTCAGGGTACTACCCTTGCCTCTGCAGCTATGAGAATGTATCCACGTGAGTTGTCCTTCATGTCTTGTATGAGATGAAAACACCAAACTTCGGCACAAACCCCTGGAGTAGCCATACCCAACCGACTGTAGTATTCTCCCATACAATTGTGCGCTGTGGATTCGTACTTTTCACGTACAACGTAGATCCCACCCGTAGTGTCTGATGACGTCAAGATATGTCGTAGAGGACGGGACGGTTTCATATGTGGCACGAGCAGCCGTGGTTCACTGCCTATGAGCAGCTTGGACCCGAAAGAAAGCCAAGAGGAATGAGATCCGATCTATCCAGGATGCTGTCTATCTGCGCCACCTCCGCGTTTATCATCTGCATTTTCATCTTGAGAGTTGAGACTGTGCATTCTAGTGCCCAAGATGCCTCTCTCTCCTTCTCTTGTACTACCAGAGGTACTTGCACCCAGAATATGAGCATGATCGCCCAGGACTACAGTTCAGATCCGAAGCAGGGTCTACAAGCAGATACTCAGCTATTTCCACACACTTTAAGCTTCTCTCCTCGTCGAGCGGTCATGTTCTCTTTTCCTCCAGTTACGCACTGCTGTGACGTCAACCAGCGCCTCCTATCCGGAGATTATACCGAGGCGTAATGGAACTGTTTAAAAAGGTTGAATCAGATATCGCTGGAGCCCGAGTGGCCGAAAGAAGACCCAGCGAATCAGACGCGGCGGATTTCTCTTCAGCTTCCTTGCTGCGGAATTCTTTATCTCTTCCTCGAGGACGAACCGACGAACTCGTGTGGCTTGAGCAGAGCTGCAGATCTTCTCTTCAGACAGGCACAGCATTGTTTCCTGTCTATAATTTGTGGCATATTGGCGTTGCCCTTTGCTCATGAGGCTCCTTGACAGAAAATCGTGAGCTAGATACCTTAAAGTTTTTTATCATGAGACTGCCGCAACAAATCCATGAAAATGGGCTGTCAATTACCGTAGTCGTTAACTCTCAAGAAGGGATCCACACACACGCCTAAAGTGTGGCTGCTGATAGGTGAGCCAAGAACCTGGCCCCGCTGATCAGACACTAGCGCTATGCCGGTTGTTAGCTCCGGCCAATCATTGCTACCGTTGCGTAAACCCTCCATCAATGTAACGACATTATACGGAACAGCAGCTGTCAGTGTCTCTTGAATCATGATCATCACCCATACTCTGTACGAGCTGTAATTTTAAATAAATAATATTCCTTGGGTAAGGTGGTTGCTGGTATTACTGACTGGGGTTAAAGCTCTCCTCCTTGGTTCTGAGCTTGATTGCTCTTTAGACTTCCTCCATCTCCGTTCTCAGGGTTCAGTTACATCAAGATTCATATGTTGTCTGGGGCGGGAGGAGGCGTTTGGTCCAGAACCGCGTAGCAGGAAATATTTCTCCAACACCTGAACAAGTCCTCCGGCTTTGCCAGCAGGTTTCCTTGGGATGTCGATGTCTTAGTCTTTAAAAGAGAGTGACCAACCGGTTCGATAATTGAGACTTCAAACACTCTTGTACAGCTACAACTACAGCTACGGCTCCAGTACCATTATAGGCTTTATATATATTGGCCTATTGGGCTTCTGCCTCACACCGTAGCTGTGATCGCAATACACCGTCTAAACCTTCTTCATCTCCGTCAGACAATCTGTCCATAGCTCAATCGCTCAGCTGCACAGCTGTACAGCTCGAGTACATCCATCACCTGCATCATGACGACCACCACACTTCTTACCGAGCAGTCGGCCAATGGCAATCTTCTGGACTGGGCCAGCCTCAGTCCAACCGCTCTTGCCTTGCCGCCAGGTGACTCTACCACTTATGAACCTGTCCTTCTGAGCGATGAAGATCTCCATGTTCTCGATCCCGCTTTTCTTTCCAGGCGCACAGACTCCAGCATCGATAACAATAAACCCCTGTACAACCAGCGTCCACAGCTAAAGCCAGCTTCCACCAATCAGGGAGCTCCAAATATCCACGCTCGACCCTCGCGCTCATCCATCACCAGCGTTTCTTCTACAACTTCTACTTCTACGTCCGCCACCACAGAATCAGACATCACTTCTCCCAAAAAATCTTCGAAATCCAGCAAACGCAATTCAAAATCAAAGGTATATGACAAGAACGACCCCCGTCGCGAGAGATATCTCGAGCGCAACCGGCGTGCAGCCAGCAAATGCCGCCGCCAGAAGAAAGAGCGCAACCAGCAACTGGAGAACCTGTATCGCAAACAGTCTGCAGAGCAAGAGCGGCTTCTCTCGGAGCGCGACCGGATGCGCTCGGAACTCCTGTCTCTGAAGGATGAACTGCTGAAGCACGCACAATGCGAAGACCCGCCGCTCAAGTTCTACATTGCTCAGATGGTCGAGGAGGCCGGTGCGGCGGTTGCGCCAGGTAGACCGATCAGTACCTACTCTCCTGGGTACTCCGAGCAGCAGGCGCAGTCTTTGATGTTCAACGATGATGATGTCTTGCAACAGCAGTCCCCGACAATGAAGATGTCTATGGTTGCAGATGCACATTGGACCACATCGGGTGGTGACTTTGTGGATTTTGTTCAATTGTGATCAATTATATTACCCCTCGTAGTAAGTTATGTTTCATGGAGTTGGACCCTGGCGTGCATCGGATGTGTATTATCTGGAGTTAAACTGTCAAGCCATGTGGAGGTTACTACACTGTATCAACAGAAATATATGGCGCTGCATAGCAAAGCTGCTATCAGTCCACTACCCAGTCAGCAGAGCACATATTAGCTGTATCTTACTTCTGTCACTGCTGAGTCAATTGACCAATCATGAGCTTCGCCAGAACGGATAATGTGATAACAACGTCATCGAAGGTTATTGGATGCCTGAGGCCTGAGCCGAGGTGTGGCGATGGTCTGCGGAATTATCTTCCTGCACCCATGGATTGGATATGACGCTCCAAACCGGCCGAAACTGCAAGGATTGTGGCTGATCAGATCGGCCGATGCCGCAAACCCACCTCGGAAATGTTGACAGAAATGCATATATATAACAATGTCGTTCAGTTGTGAAAGACACTCGACCACTGCTAGCCAACCCAGGTGGTCGAAGAGCAACTGACCCTTTGCCTCTTTCCCATCACGGCAAACCGGGGCTATAGGGCTGATTCTCTTGCCATTCGTTTACATGTCTGTCTGCTTGCTCTCGGCCCCCATGACAAGTTCCTTCGCATCTACCTCGACATCGCAAGGACGACCACAAAAACAAGATGCGAGGGTACTGCACCTAGACGACCGGTCGCAATGGCTCGCGTGGAAAACCGCTGAGATGCTCTTTACCCTCCTCCTCAACAAGCAACTGCGCCGGCGCTGGCTCCTAGAGCATAAGCATTCGCAATCCATCCCGGTCCCACAGAGACTGCGCCCGGTTGCGCTTCTCGAACCGATCCCCACACCGGCGAGCTGGTCCAAATCAAAAGGGGCGAGTGCTGCCGAAATGGACGCCCTCAAGTACCGCGTGCGGCTCCTGCGCGCCCGTGCAGAAAAGGGCAAGGAGCTAGTCGCCGAGATGGAGCGGAGGATCCAGCGGGGCGATCTGCGCGACCCGACGAGCTTCTGCCATTCGTGCGTCGCTGTCGATGATCGGGAGGTGTTTCTCACCAAGTGTGGGCATCGTGTCTGTCTGACCTGTGTGCGGTACAGTACCAATGACCAGGGGCAGTACGAGTGTTGTATCTGTTTTGTGCCGACCAGTTTTGTATCTCGAAGGCGGACGCTTGGGCCACGGCGACGGTGATATTTCCGTGTGCCAGAGCTTGCAGACTACTTGACTACTGTTTTGCTCTTGAGAATGGTCGTTATCGTCGTTATCAGTCGTTATCAGAATGGCTATGTAAACTAATCAAATACAAAAATAGCTAATTGATAAATCTACATCCTGGAGGTCCATACTGACCTGCTACAAGATGTAATGATTCATGCCAGTCAAACACCGTAAATAATTAGTCAGGATCTATCTACTTGATTGGGATAATGGTTATACGACGCGGATGTCCAGATATCCTGAATTGGTGACGTCATTGAATACATAATAGTATAGAATCGACCCATATGAATCAAGTAGCGTCCGTAGACCTATGAGGAGTTCTAGAAGGGTTGAATACGTTTGTTCTTTGCAATGACAGGTACTTTGTCAAGGTACCATCGAAGGATAGAAATGTAGATCGAATGACACTATCAGCATGTCATATTAACTGGGGCCCTGCAGGGAAGGAAGGTTAAAGTTATCGGTGATCTACAACACTTGACGAGGATCATGGTGACGTCGAAATCATCACCTCGACTATATCCCCCACATCAAGTGGCAAGATGTAGGCTGCAACCGAACAATGGACTTCCCCAGAAAATGGTGATTCATGAGGTGAACTCGGTGTCTGCTCTATCCCCGATCAGGCCGTGTCACAAGCCATGACGTCTAACTCCTACCTGGTTGATGGTCGATCACGTCCTGAAGGACATATAAGAAGGGTACTTTTTCAGTCGTCGTCTTCTTATTCCAGAACAGAGCACAAATAAAGAAGCATTTCACAGAAGTCAATTTAATCACACAAACAACCACAAACCACAAACCACAAACCCTACTCAACATGTCTGACACCGGCCGCAAGGATTTCTCCACCAGTATGTTCCCCGATCCATGCAACACAGATCAATTCTTAATTCCGCAACAGAGGCTCAGGAGAAGATGACTCCTGACTCCCAGAAGTCCACCATGGACAAGATGAAGGAGACCGTCACCGACGCTACCGACCGCCTCACCGGCAGCGCGCAAGGCGACAACCAAAAGTCGTACTCGCAGCAGGCCTATGATTCCGTGCGTGGCGAGACAGACAACCAGACCCATGGTAGCAGCACCGAGACAATGTATGTTCCCCACATCTGGAGGAAATCTAACTGATCAGGTGCTAACCTGTTGCAATAGGGGCCAGAAGGCAAAGAATGCCATGGGACTCGGTGATCATTAAGTTATGGGAAGGAAGTATGACGAGCTGTATATTAGATAACCAAGGATTATGACTGTTATTTTAATTGAAGAATATCAATTGTACACATGATGTATACTATTTATAGATAGTAAAGCGTTAATCTCGATCATGCCAGGAGCAGTGCATCTCTGACAGTTACTCTTCGATTGCTGTGCCAATGGACAGTGTCAGAATATGGAGAATGCTGCATGCAGACAACACATTTAAGATGCTGGACATCTATTGTTTTATTATAGAGATGTACAAGCCATCAATTGTTTTAAATTCCCGAGGCCCCTGTCGTCGAGCATTCGACTACTAGCGCCATGTACTACTAATAGTGGTTCTACAGAACCAATTGATATACCTGCGTGCAATCAATATCTGTGGTCTGACGCATAAAAGCAAAATGATATGACTTATGATCCTCTAGGATGTATTTGTTTACCAATATGTTAAGGAAATATAATGAGACTCATTGCTCTATCTGATAACTACGTCATGCTGATGAGGTCCTCAACGGTTTCAACTTCTCCACACATTTGCATCTAGACTCGCCACTGGGCCAGGTTTTTGGCTTCACATGCATCCAATTACGCCAACATGATGATAGTATGTATGGCCTGTTTCAGACTTGGACTTATATAGAGCCAACGGCAATGCCCAACCGGATCAACAAAGATCGACCGAACTCACTCACTTCTCAAGACCATCCCAAAGAAGAAAAGCATAAACAAGCAATCACCATGTCGGACGCACAGCAACAGAACCAGCGTTTCAAGCTCGAAAACCTCTTCAGCGTCAAGGGCCGAGGTATGTTGTTCCTATCATCCACATAATACACATGATAGGATACTGACCAGCGCAGTTGCCCTCGTCACTGGAGGTGGTTCGGGAATCGGCCTCATGATCACACAGGCACTGGCTGTAAACGGTGCCAAAGTATACATCACTGGTCGCACAGGAGAAAAGCTCGACCGCGTCGCAGAATTGTACTCGCACAACATTTCCGGACAGATCATTCCCATCACCGCCGACATCACTAGCAAGCAATCCATCCAGAAGCTTGTGGACGAAATCTCCTCCAAGGAAAAAGCACTGCACATCCTCGTCAACAACGCCGGCATCTCTGGTAAGACACAGGACACCGACAGCCAGAGCGCCGAGGAACTGCACCAGAAGCTCTTCAAGGACGAGTCCAATTCCGTTGAAGAGTGGGATGAGATCTTCCGCACCAATGTAACTCAGCTATATTTCACCACCACTGCTTTCCTGCCCCTGTTGAACAAGGGAACCGACATCGAGCACGGCTGGTCCAGTACCGTCGTCAACATCAGCTCCATTTCAGGCATTATCAAGACAGCCCAGCACCACTTCCACTACAACGCTAGCAAAGGCGCCGCCATCCATGTGTCGAGAATGCTGGCGCATGAGATCGCCTCTTCCAACCTGAAGATTCGGGTCAACAACATCGCGCCAGGGGTTTTCCCCTCGGAAATGACCGCCAATGAAAGCGATGAGAAGCAGAAGAGCTCTCTGCCCAAGGAGAAGTACGAGGGTAAGGTTCCTGCTGGAAGACCGGGCAAGGATGAAGACATGGGCAGCGCTATTTTATTTGCCGTCTGCAACCAGTATCTGAATGGGCAGACTATCGTGGTTGATGGTGGCTACGTTCTTGCTACTGGAACTGTTTAATGTCCTGCGATTGTATGATAATGAGATACGACGAATGCATGGATTGTCTTGTACATTTTTCTTCAAGTGTTTGCGATCTATCGGTACTCATCTACAGTCTGATCCTGATCCGGGAGCTGGATCCGCATTAATCATGGCATTACCACATTGTCCACAGCAGAAAACTGAAATCAGTTATTCCACCAAAGTAGTGGCCGTTGTAGTCTACCGGAAAACAAGTGGATCTTGAAAGCGAGGTCGGAATGACTAGTTAAAAATGCTAACAAGGTATAAATTCTTCCATGCTAAACAAACACAGATCAATGTATATCATAATGCTTCCACATCAAATGTTATATCAATCATAAGCAGTCCAGTCCTCCTTGTCCATCGCAACCAGTCTATAATTGAATTCATATATCGAGGGTATTGTTCAAGTTCTTCGCGACGAGTCTTTTTGGTCACGGTCCGACAAAGAAGTTGAGGTACAGACATACTCTATGGATGTGCTTAACGGCTGCTTCTTGACCGTCTACTGCCATGATAGGAATATGGCTGATGATGGTCTCTCATCCCTTGTGAGCCGGGCTGTTCTCTCATTGATGGTCGAGGTCTCGCGTAGTCAGAATCACTCGCTTTCTGCTGTGCTCTTTTGTTTTTGGCGAGGAAGAGAGGAATGAGGAGACACATTTTGGCTTGATATGATCACGTTTGATATTGGAGGAAAGAGGCAAGAGGATTGTGGACTTTGGATGTCTTACTTATATACCTTTCTGATGAGGCTCTCTGGCATAAAAATAACTGAACATTGTGTCACAGCCATGGTAATTCTACAGCAATATCAATCTCAGCCTCGTCTTGAACCTTAGCCCAACAAGCAATCACCTCGTATCAACTAAGCTTTCGAAGAATCTTGGCTTGGGCTGTGCCAGGAGATCAGCGCTAAAGCTGCGGGGCTGGGGCTGCTTACGGCCCCCTGGGGCCGAACGATATCTCTGGGGCTGAATGTGTTGTTTCAGGCTTTAGATCCTTTCCTTAGCTTTGACATTGTTTGGGTGCTTGTCGATCGGAACTCTTTGGCGGTACACGTGGCACGGTCTTTGGTGAGTGGGAGGCTGTGCAATTATATTTGTAACTGTCAGCAGTCGTGAAGCTTATTCTACATTGTTACTATTCTTCGAAGTGCGTTCATTGGTGATAGAGGAGAAGCTTTCCAATGGGGGCGAGCACTCTGCCTTGCTATTATAAGTGAAGGTGAAGTCTATGCAGCAACACTGTTTGAGACAGGTCAAGTGCATAGAGTATATACAATGTACTCTCTTGGAACAAATACGTCTGATTTGCATCGCAGATTACATCTACTGCTCGTACCGAGCAGTTTACATAGATGCACAAAGGGGTTACGAGACTGACATTGTGGAGACAGCCATACCCAAGCAATAGATCATCACTATACATCATATCAACAGAGCAACAAAAGCACGACAGATACAGACTATAAGACACATTGAAGAAGGGCAATACCACCCGACACAAGGATCGCATCCAAGCCTGACACCAGTGTTGTGCTCCCTATGCAAATCAGCATGGGTCAACGGGAGGAATCGCAACAACATACCTAGACTTGGCACCGATCCATCTGAATTGACCTGACTCAAACATAACTGGGTATAGGAACCCAGGACAGTCTGCAACTGAGATGCTGCATCCGGACATAGCGCCGATGCACAGTCCGCAATGGACGGCGCATACCCATTACTCGAGGTAAAGCTGCCTGATTGGCAGATGCAGTTAATGTCGGATGGCTTGCGGCTGCTGCTGGCACCTTTGCCGCATTTGCTTTGAGCAATATTCGCAAAGAAGGTGTTGAAGCAGGGTTGGATGCATGAGGGAAGACTCTCGACCCATTTGTTGTAGGAGGTGGATGAGGTAGCCAGGACGGCAGCACTGAATGTAAGGAATAGGAGGAAGAAGATGGATCGCATGCTGACAGTGAGTGTGAGATGATGAAGGAAAGATAATTCTATACTGATAAGAGTGAAAGATGGTATAATAGATTCGGCCACTGGTTGTTTGAGGCGCGATGGCTGACGATATTCATCATCACACTGACACAAAACACAGAGTTTGTTTCCCCTGAGCCACCTGATCCAAGAAGAGGGCAGACCCTGAGCCACGGCCCAGAATGGCTTTTGCTGATTGGCGGGTTCATCAGCCAAGACGGGTAACAATTAATGGTCTGTTGTTATTGGATAATGGATCCGGAGGGTTTTAAGATCCAAGCGGGGGAGGCGTCTATCGATGATGAAATCAGACAGAGATCAGAATATGGGAGAAATCGACTGCTGATTCAAAAGTACAAATAATTGAGTTTCTCTAAAAGATTGCAGGTCTAACTCAGTAATGACTGGTTGCCCGTCTTTGAAGATGTACAAAAAAGACCTACGGTTCCACTATCCTACTCAGATATATATAAATATATCTATCCTTGCATGATTGGACAATCTTGAGGCTCGCGTTGTCTTCTTCCCCACGGTTGAAGAAGTAGATATGGGGGGGCATCACCGTGAGACTGTAAAATTCCAAGTTATTCAACCTATTATTGTTGGCGTTGATGCTTGAAGGGTCAATTTCGGGGTGCGGTGGCAGCCTTAGACAAAGATGAAGATGTCATTGAAAGTACTGAGGATGTGGCCCTCATGAATTCCGATGGAAGATGGTATAAACGAGTGCCTGTCCTCTCTCACTCTGAGGTACAAAGTTCTTTCAATGCAATACCTCGAGTAGTAAAGTTGTTCCGTTAGTATCCGCCGTACGTGACACTGGGAGTCAATTATTGGCTGTGAAGGGATAGTCTATCGTTTGACAAGGCAATAAACCGGTTGTCGCGGAGTTTTTCCTCAGTTGGTTACTCAAGCTTATATCAAGAGGTCTCGACAACGTCCTTGCTCTCGTAACTGGTTACACCAGCTGATCAACAGGAAACCTGCTCCAGATGACGCCTTTAACTCCTTGTGGATCCCAACTCCACAGCAACACATCATGCGATATAAAAAGAAAGATCTGCCCAGATCAGATGTCGATCAGTCTGCTCGTGGCCCCTGAAACTGTGAATAATATGATGGATCATAACGGCGACGTCTGTTAAATCTAAAAAAACAAACGAAACCACTTTCACTCCTCATTTCCATCGCTCACATCGTGATGCATTATCGATGGCTTCTCTCATCGCAAATACTGGCACTAACATGCGTTGCAGCTCAACCAAGTCAGATACGAAATAATGGACGTCAAATTGAGCCTTGTGCTCAAGTCTCCGATTGGGTTGCACAGGCAAAGACGACCAAAGGAATCCCGGGAAACCTGGCCTATGGCTGTCTGACTTCGATGCCGTTCGATGCTGAGGATGCCGTCAAGTTTGTCGACGAATATCGCAAGTATCTACAGTTCCAGTCGACGATCGAAAATTTGAAGAGTATGTGCGTGCTATCATTACAGATGGATATCACTGACTATGGCAGATCCCCCGGAGCAATATTTGATGCCGTCGACGGATTTACTGGGCGGTCTGGACAATATCAGACGAAAGGCTCAGAATCACGACTACTCTAGCCATTGGGATTTCGAATTAGATCTGCGACAACTCATCAATTCAGCACACGACGCCCACCTGACTCTACAGCTCTGCTCTACAGTGCTCTTTCGCTTCTCAAACTCGGTTCCTCTGGTCTCGCTGTCTTTGGACGGCCTGGAGCTGCCGCAGGTATACACACTCGGTAAGTTTCTCGCAACGGTGAAGTGAAGCCAGCTGACTCGATAGATGACGCTGAACTCTTGACCCGAGGAGTCCAGTCCGTCTCGCCGGTAGTGGCTATAGACGGCCAGGACGCTGCACGGTATCTTGAATCGTTCTCCTCCGAGGCCGCTCTACATGACCCGGACGCTCAGTAAGATCTACAATTTCATTCAGGTGCATGAAATCTAAGAAAGTACCAGGTATAATACAAATTTCCCGTCCCTAGCCAGTCAAACCGCTCTGGGAACGCCCCGCAACAACGGTCTCTGGTCACGGAACTTGGGAGAGAAGTGGACTGGCGACCGGCTCACCCTCACTTTCGCCAACGGCTCTTCAATTGAGAGTCACAGGACAGCTGATCTCATACCACTGGAATTCCCATACCGCAATGGTACCGCACTCTTCAACGCCCGCTGTCGCAAAGAACCAATTCCAACGATGGCCATCGCAACATCCGACAGCGGGGGCTATCCCAACACAACCTGGTCTAGCTACGGCGGATTAATAGCGGGATATTTCTTAGAGGAAGAGGCACTTCAGGACGTTGGCGTGCTAGCGGTCACCACCTTCTCGGTCGATGCTGCGACCATGCAGCAGGTCAGTGTGGATTTTCTGCGAAACGCGACCGAAGCTGGCAAGAAGAGGATAATCGTGGATCTGTCCGGCAACCCCGGGGGTAGCTTGACTGCCGGTGTGGACCTCTTTCATATCTTCTTTCCGGACGTGGTGCCATATACAGCGACTCGGCTACGGGCGCACACCGGTGCAGAATTCTTGAGCAAAGCATTCTCCAGACTGGCAGAATCGCATCAAAAGCTGCAGTTCGAGCTCTGGGAGGGGAACCCGTTTTCCTGGCAGGCCGCAGTGACGCCAAACCAGGATGACAATTACAAATCGCTGGAGGCCTGGTACGGACCGTATGAGATTGACGGGGCGCCATTGTCGAATCTCCATGCCAACTTCAACTTCACCAGCATCTCCACGACGCATTCTCCAATCACCGGATACGGGCCGATTCCTCTAGACCCTCCGCAGAGATTATTTGCCCCGGAGGATATCGTCATTGTAAGTCATCCTCCCCAAGAGAAGGCAACGCTAATAGAATAGATCACCGATGGCAACTGTGTCTCGACATGTGCCTACTTTGTCGATCGAATGCAGCGACAAGGCGTTCGCACGGTCGCGTTCGGCGGAAGACCTCAGTATGGACCTATGCAGGCCATTGGCGGCACCCGTGGCGGCCAGAACCTGGCCTACGGTGGGGTCTACTCTTATGTTGAAACGGCGCACAGTTTGATCCGGGAGTCTTTACGGAATGGCTCGACACCTCTGATGTCAATGCAAGAATGGGCGCAATTCAACCGATCGGTCCCCGTTGACCCCGACGAATTCCCGTTCGTCTTTGGCGGAGGAGTCAACCTGCGCAACGAGTACGCGCCCGGAGACGACGAAACGCCTCAACAGATCACCTACAAGGCGGCGGACTGTCGGCTGTTCTACACAGCAGAAAGCTGGTTCTCACAGGAAGGAGTTTGGCGAGCAGCAGCAGCGGCTTTTTCCGGAGGAAATAGCAGCTGTGTCCGGGGATCCATGCCAATTTGAGGCAGTAGTAGAATGCCGTACATTAGTGTATATGTACTCCGTATGTCCAAGAATAGCGATCATAAACTCCCATATGTCCGAACCCCGATCTCACATTTCCCGCCATGAATACCCTATAAACGACGCCACCTCCTCCGCGGCCGGTCTCCCCGACCGTAGCGAAATGATGTACAAGGCCGCATCAATGCCGTTGGTGATGGTCCCGGACGTGACAATGCGCACCTGCGACGCGTTCATTCCTGCATCGACATAGTGTACAGTGCCCGTTGCATTCTCCGGCACCACCTCCGTCCCTTTCGCCCCCGGTGTCCGACTCTTATACTCGTCGCATAGATTTCGCAGGGGTCCGAGCCCCAATCGGTGTGATGTCGCCGTGAGACCATCTAGAACTCCTGCTGCCGCCAGAAGATACGACCCACTGCAAACAGAGAAGAGGACCCTCTCGCCCAGAGGCCCGGGACTTTTGGGGTTGAGTTTCGCAAACGCAGATATCAACTCTAACAGTTCGTGGAGATGCCCATCTGCCGAGAGGAACGGGAGGATATGGTTCGGTCGCGCCCCAGGTACAATAAGCACATCAAACTCCGTTAGTCTGTCCTTGGCTTCGGCGATGGACAAATCCCGTCTGAAGGTTACATTTTCCTGGGAGGTCGTGAATTCGTCACGGGCGGCTATGACCGTGGAATAGCCGCCCTGGAAGAGCACGCCGATCGGGCCGTTGGTGTCGAGAGTATTGACGGAGGGGTAGACAAGAACGAGGGCGGTTGGCATAGTATAGTTGTGATTGAACCGTGCGAGACATGCGTCTGATGCGGAGAGTGGATATGGAGGATCACACTTGCCGTTGCAGATCGAGAGACAATCGGCGGTGAGTCTCACGTGTTGTCGCGCTGTGTTCGTGTCGGGCGGAATCTCTCCGTCAACAATGCGCATCCAGTCATATGGCAGGTGTGTCATCTGTGGTTTTTCAACAAGGCTCTAAATCACATAGTGCTGGTGCTACTGACGCTCCTGACCGTCATTCTCCTGATCGATGCCTTTTTAAATAAGGTGGAAATACCTTTCTATCGAGAGGAATGCAACCTCAGAGATGAATGACGTCATGAATCTCGACGAGCCAAGGGAAAAGATGAGAAGAGCCATATATCACTGACTATGTTACTGTTCTCATATACCGACTGTGACTGCTATCTACAGGGTAAATGACCCCGTCAAAGGGAGATCCCGACTCGACCGGCCAACGTACACCCGATACGTTCCGCGCTGCAACGACCACTGTTGAGCCTCGACATCCCATGTACTCAGATCACGTCGGTTCAAGGCGAACTTCACCTGTGTAGTCTCACCTGCTGAGACATCGACCTTCTCAAATCCACGCAATTGTCGTACAGGACCATTGGGGATGCCGATGTAGAGCTGTGCCACCTCGGCACCGGCGACACGTCCAGTGTTCTTGACCTCCGCCGACACCGTGACAGTTTTATCCCAGAGATGAGGGTTTCCACCTTGCTGGATAGCAGCTGACGGAGGATATTGCGGAGATTTCTTAGGATTGCTTATCCGCAGTCCAGAATACTCAAAGGCCGTGTACGACAGTCCAAAGCCGAACTCGAACTGTGGGGTGATGTTGGCCTTGTCAAAGGCGCGGTAGTCAATGTACACCCCTTCGTCAAAGTCAGACTGAGGGAACAGTCCATATGGGGTCTCTGGCAGGGACGGATGCAACAGACTGCCGTAGTCTTCCGCTTTCTTAGCCACCGTGTACGGCAGCTTTCCCGACGGATTGGCCCGGCCGTAGAGCAACTCTACCAATGCCCTGCCACTGTCTTGACCCGGTAGATGAGCGAAGATGACAGCTGTCACATTCTCATGGTCGATCCAGTCGCCGATCACTCGGATCCCGGCGTTGTGGATGGTGACAATAGTGTTGGCGCATTTTCCAGCGACGTTCTTCACCAGGGAATCACTCGACTTGTCAGCGAGTCCAGGGCGGTCCCACCCTTCTGTGGCGTAGGAGTTGATGAAAACCAGACACGCATCGGTGGTTGGGTCAACGTCGGGATCCTCCGATGAAAGATCGTACAACACGGACGTGCCGTCCTCGTAGGCCTGGCGCTTTATGGCATCTATAGGAGCATCGACATACGCAGCGTTATTAGCCCCAGAACCGCCTCCCACCCACAGGGTGTGGTTTTCCTGAATGGCAGGGCTGTATGACAACCAGTTGAAGTTTTGCTTCAGGGCATCCGGTCCCTTAGCATCGTATCCGAACACGGAGAGCAGCTGAGGTGACTTGAGCGGCAGCGCGCTGTTGGTATTTTTGACGAGAACATGGCCCTCAATAGCACCCCGGAGTAATGTCTGCTTGGACGACGCTTCTCTTCCTATTACCCGCTGATGAGGTGCATACATGTTGGTCGGCATGCCGACGCCAGGAGACGGGGAGTCGGAATTCTGATTCATTTGATACCACGAAGCAATGATCCTGTTTTTGTCAGTTTCGGTTGGAAATTCGGCGGGGCCAGACTACCTTATGGCCATGTCATCCAATCTCGATGCGTCCATCGTCCCGTTGGAGATAGCGGTCGTGAGATTGGCTCCCCATGTTTCGGTGCTAGGCATCACCATGTCCAGTCCAGCGTTAGCACCAGCGATTCCGGCATGTTGAGCGCCCCAGTCGGTCATCACATATCCTGATCGGTCAGCTTGAACTGCAAATGGAACGTAGACGACCTACCTTGGAATCCGAGTTCTGTCTTTAAGAGACCATTCAGTGTCTTGCTGTTTTGACAGCCGTAGGAGTTGTTGACTCGATTATATGAGCACATGATGGAAGCACTGCCGGCCAAGACGGCATCTTGGAAGGGCCAGAGGTACAGCTCGTGCATGGTCTTGTCATCGATGTTGGAAGAGACTGCCGCGATATCCACGCCGTCCTCCGTTCCCGGGTTTCGATTTGTCTCTTGTTCATTTAAGATGTAATGCTGTATGAAAATGAAAGAGTTATTGGCTGAACCAAGAATTTATCGAGGTGACTGACCTTGGTGCAAGTCGCGACCCCAACCGACTGCGCTCCATCGACGGTCTCATAGACCAAGGCACCGCTCAAGTATGGATCATTTGAGAAACCCTCCCAGTTGCGTCCCGCCTCTGCTACACGACCCAGGGGACCAACGACGGGTCCAAGTATGACATTGACACCTTTCTTGCGGAACTCCTTGGCCATATGGATGGCCCTTTGCTTAGCTAGAGCTTTGCTCCAGCTGTGAAGGTCAGCATGATCCGGTCGACTGAGGATCAACCATACCTGGCACCAACATGTAGTCCGCTAGGCCAGCTGCTCACGTAGTCGGTTCCCCTCTACAGAGGTTAGTCATTTCCAGCAACTGCTGCATGTGTGCACGTACAAGTCCATTGCCAGCATCAGATACACACAGTCCAGGAAAGTTCAGTCGCGGAATAGCTGCAATATTGCCGGAACAGCCATTATTGGCGTCAGTTCCCGCAGTAAGATTGACTTTCTCCTCTGGGGTGAGCTGGGCAACAAAGTTCTTTGCCTTTGCATAAGCGGCGGCCCAGGAGCCAGTTCCACTTCCTTCGGCTATTTCGCAGGTTAGTGCTAGGCCTATGCAAGGGAGAGCGACATACGCGATGGGTATACAGGAGGCGACTGTCCATAACAGTAAGTGTCACTGGTGATATTCTGATCTGCTGGAGCAGACAGGCACACAGACGCAGTGGCCAAGAGCCCTGCGAGTCCTGCGAGTCCTAGATTTGAGTGCATCTCAATTTTGCTTTGTTGCCTGGTACTGGTGAAAGTGACGATTAAATTTGCCCCTCTTTATAGTTGCGCATTCTCCCATTCTACCCCTCACATCGACTCAGTCAGGTATGTAACATAACCGTGCCACTCTACGTACCGATTCTCAAGCCTTGCATGGCTCGGACTATTACCGGCGGAATTTAAGATCACTGGAACAAGCTTGATGACGCTTGGCAGCCGTCTTGACTTGTTGGCAATGAGCTTCGGTGGAGTGAATCTGTGGTTCTCATCGAAATATTTGAACGTGATGCTTTGTCAAACTCTCTGCAGCCACATTTCTATTCTCGACTTCAACATTCTTTATCAATCATCGAAAGCGGCGAAAAAGTCGACAGACTCTCGCCCAAGAGTCAGTTCCTTGATGAAATCACCACCTAACCGATCCTTGTCCTCTTCCCCGCAAACCCCAGATCTCCACAACTCTCCGAAGTGGCAAATAAGCGGCATTCGAGCATCAATAATCCCAATAGCAACATGCGATCGACAGACCATTCCATTGCTTCTCTTAGTTTGTGCTGATAAATCATACCTCGCATTGACTGACGGAACAAAGTCACCCGAGATTACCTGTCAGTGTACACTGCACTGGCGAAGCACATTCGATCAACCTAACGCATCGATGCAACCTCCCGGTAAAACATCGGCTGAGCTTACTTTAAATGGCAATCCGCAGGATTCAATAGTTGCTGTATGTCTCTGGCTGCCGTGATGTAGGTCAAAGCGAAGCATACTGGCGACCAAGAGCAGTCTGCATAAGACTACCCCTCCAGGGGAGAATAGACTCGTCTTGATATCGCTAATCACACATTCGGAGGCAATGACTCGCTTGTGGTGCCGCAAGTGATTAGCTTAGACTTATCGGCACAGTAACCAAAGAATTGGCATTACCATCCTCGCCAAAGCAGAAGGCAACACCCCACTTATACATCAGCTACAAAGACAGACGCACGCTGTCTGGGCAGAATTGCAGCTTTCAGTAATGTATCGGACAACTTGCGATGAAACCTCGGTCGAGACTTGATTTGAATGACCTTTTTCCCCGCATGCTTCTAGTCCGGGTATCCTCTACTCAACGGGTTTAGCGAATGTCACCTGTATCCTGGGGAACTTCTTCTCCAGGGCCTGGACGGGATCGTTGAAGGTGCGGGTCTGGGTGCCGCGAGATCCATGAATGAAGTGGATCCTGCACTGGATTGATGCGGAGCTGGTGATGGTGTTGGGGATGGATACCAGGGGAGTGCGCCGACACCGGCCGACAAGAGAATAACTGGATGAGAGACTTCAACGGTGGCCGTGATGATCTCAATCTGCTTGAGACTGAGAGGAGCAGCAGATGGGGCGGCTTCCTTGAGGGAGGGTTGCCGCGGTCGAGCATTAAATGCTCTGTAGATGAAGTAGGCAGCGATCGCGGCGACTGTGACTTGCGAGACGATTGCGACATGACGGTCCGTAAAGCGACAGGAAGCTGGTGCGGAGGAGATAGGTATGTCGAAGAAGAAGCCACAGCGGTGAAGGAGGATGGTGGGACGATTTGACGAGAATGACTCGTCAGACTGCCTATTTCTTTTTACATTTTTCAACCCACGAGGCCGATAACCTAGCCAGCCGTGTGCGGGTTATTGTGAGGTTTTCCAGGCAGGCAGTGGCATTTGACAGTTGGAAATATTCGACATGACAGAATGATGTGTTAGACATGTCATAAGGCCAAATTCTCTACCCCAGTTTAGACACCTAGGCTGATACTTATGCTGCACGGAACAATAATCCACTTGATGTCAGTTGATCAATCAGATTAACAGTCTTGACATCAAGCAAAAGCTACTGCTAGAACTAATCGTCGTACTGTATTTTGACGTCGCGGTATTTGTCCGCCATATGTACGTTAAAGTGCAGACCCAGAAGAATGGGACAATCATGTTTCGGGCTCACCCCGGGTCAGATCTGGCAATCCTGTTCCTATCCTAGGAGATCAGGTTCTACCGAGTCAAAAATAATAGCACCAACTTAGGGCTGGGGACTTAACCAAGGCGTCGGACGAGTGGAAAAAAGTGGATGTTCCGCCTCAGGCATCTAGTACTTGATTTAAGATGTCCAATCAGATGTTCACATGAGGAAAAATGCCCGACTTCCCAGGCGGAAAGGGAGCAATGGACAGCGCCTGTGCCGAAGGCTTTATCGTTACCCAAAGGGGAACAATTGTCATGGTCATTATCTATATACATTCGGACGAAGATCCGCTATAAGATAGTCTAAAACGCTGGCTGACAGTTGCTAACTTTCAGTACTACTCTGGTCTCCAACGCTACTATCATACTGATCCGGATTTCGCAGGCGATCCCTCAAGACCTCGAGAATCCCCTTCTCCTCGAGTCCCAGCGTGAACCCATCCGGAATCACCACCCGATCAGGCGTAATGACGATCGAATTCTCCCGCAGTAGTCCCACAGCACGACTCATCCGTCGTTCGCGACTCTCCTGAGGAACCTCCGACGTCTTCTCGATATCCGGCGGTCCCATCTTCCGGCCCACATCCCGAGGCGTCCACCAGAACATAGGAAACTGACGCTGGATATTATTGACCACCAACGCGCATCCCAGCATCAGCAGCGACCCGATGAGAACCAGCGGGACGAAGAACCAGCCCATCGCGTCGACGGTGGGATCTACCGCCGCCAGCAGCGCCGTGGCGCCCCCCGGCGGATGGACGGTGTTTGTGAGCCCCATCACCAACGACGCCAGAGCGGTGCAGACTGCCCCGGCGACCCAGCGGAGATCCTCAAAGTCTGACCGGAGCTTGAATAGCTTGGTGACTCCAACCCCGACCACGGCCCCGAGCACATGTCCCAGGATGGAACTGCGCGGTTGAGCCAGCGGGGACTGAATCGTATGGTAGTCCAGGATGGCCGTTGCGCCCTAGAATGTCAGCACGGGGTGAGGATACTAGCAGCAGAAAACATACTAGACTAGCAAATATGAGTGGAGGATGATGCGCTTGGATAGTCTCGGAAGACTTGAAGACACCCATTACCAGAAGTAATCCGCTAAACGCGCCGACAAATGCCCATGCGCAGACTAGCAGATTGCCTACTTCCGGTTGCGGGACACGTCTGTACCCTAGGAACCGCGCGATTGGCCATGGTAAGCGATGAAGCTGGGATTGGGGAAGATATCGATTGATGTATCGATCAAGGTCGAAATCAATCTCTTGAGCGCGACGGAGCTTCATTCTATGGATCATTCATTGCGATGAGACTCGGCAAGTATATTGTAGTTCGATATCCACTCAATGGCGAGGGAAAGAGTCATGAAAACGATATATGGAAGAGCATAGACACTAAATCAAAGAAAAGCATAATTAAAATTGTGTGGAGATGCTATACCGATTCAAGTTTTTTCCCTCAGGATCCTTGACAAATTCTATTTGATACACGGTGGAGTGCAATTATGTCATAACTTGGGCATAGTTTGCGAAAAAGGAAAATTGGCTCGCGGAAGAGAATAGCCGAATTCTCCACCTAGGTAGTTGCAGTGATCCGCCAGCAGAAATTAAACAAAAACAGTAAAGAAAGCCAAGAAAGCCAAGCTTTGTGCCTTGCTACTATATCCTGCTTGTAAAGTAAGGACCTGTGGACTCCATGTCAGTTACTGTGTTGGGTATGGTCTCCCAATACATGAGACTTGAATCCAGTGGTCTAGACCTTAGCATGGTATGGAACTATTAGGTGCACTAAAGATCTAGGGCATAATTTACAGCCATATACCGTCCAGGATGGAGATATTATGTATAAAGACCACTTTTGAGTAGAATAGAAGTATTCACTCCGTACTTAATAAACATATCTTCACTTCTAATTCACTCCTTCATTACTTATGGCCATCAATTAGTACTACCATGGTTTTCTGCTTCTCTCGGCTTCTATTTCTCTCCTCCATCTCTCCCACAGTCCCTCTGTCAATTCTTATTCTCCTACTCCTCTGACACTTCTGTGCTATGGATTCTGACTTTGACTCTGACACGAGAGTTCGTGCTCACAACATGATTAGGGGACTGCGAGCTGGATATTCCTTCTGGAGAGGAATGTGCTACATGGATTGTGTTACTTGCTGACGTGGATTCGTCATGTTTTCGATTCTTTAGACTTTTTCTAAGACAATAGGTATTCACTCGTCTGAATTGACGCATAACTATGACTAATATGGCATTGACAGGTCACGCCGGTGCAGTCGACAACTATAACTACCAATATGGATTCTAGTCGACGTACAAATCTGCAGTGTTGGCTGACGATACCATTTCATGAGTGCATGCAATGGCGCTTAGTCGTTATCTAGGTCAATCCATGGTGCTGGAATGAACTGCGGCTGCGAGACAAATTGTTGACAGTTACCAGTTAATACGCTGTAGTCTACATCATGATCTCGGCCTCCCGGTATAGTGGAAGAACATGCGACAAAGAAGCTGAAGAGTCTCTCACTCCGTCAAGGAATCCTTCCGAAGGTAACGACTGGCCTTCGCTCGTTATTGAAACTGGACTTTTTGAATCAGAAGCACAACTACGAACTGATACACGCTGGTGGTTCTCAAATTCTGGCTACCAAGTCAACACGGTCATACTCTTTCATATCCAGAGATCCCTCGAGCGCAGAGTCATCTTGATAGTCTCTAAGCTCAGACCTACCACCCCCAGAGTCCCCCGTGCCCTACACGCAGAGGTCGAGCGCTAAGCACCTAGGCAGGCGTGAGGGCATCAAAGGGGGAAGCAAGGTAGCCGGCACTCACTGATAACTGAACGCAAAACGACAACCATGGGCTTCTTCTGAGCTTTGCTCCCAGGTTCTGATCGTCAATCAACCCGAATTGATACAACGGTTCGCCAACACCCATGATGTGCTTGTGGTCTTGCTCCAGATATTCCTCAAGCGACTCGCCCCGAGGTGGGCAAGGTCACCTGTGTAGTAACCAGGATCTGCGAGGTGGAGAGTTGGGCAATCTGAACAAGATGACGCACAGGTCGACCAACATATTGACCGGCGAATATACGGGTTTCTTCCCCCACGCATGCCATGTAATAGCGCTTCCATGACGTCGTAATTTTTCAGCAATATGATACTTACTGCGTTAGGAGTTTGGAGCATGATGGAGCAACAATCACAGAATTTGTGCATGGAGAGATTCCTCCGGCCTTAGACAGCTAATGAGGCTTTCCAATGAGCATCTATTTTGACGAGTCCCTACAGTTCATGGGCTTGGCCAGCTCCCGCCGTGAAACCTGACACCACTGGTTAACTAACTAATCAGTCAAACAACACTTACTAAGACCGGCCATGTTGGACGATAGATACCCCCGACCAAGTGGAAGAGTGGAGCGTATGGCAGGTTATATTAACAATCCCTATTTGCTACTTTTGTGGATTTTAACCTTTATTGACTCCTTCGCCCGGTTCCTACCGCGCTAAATGTTAGGGTACAATTAATAGGGCAGGGGGCGCACAAACTATTAACAATCTGCTGCTACCTTGCTAAAACAGAAAGGTATATCAGAAACTGATGGAAACCCAGATCAGATCGATTAGGATTTTTGTAGTGGAGGTGGTCACGGGAATCCCATCGATCCTAAGAGACATAAGATGGAAGACAGGGTTAAACACATGAGAAAGAATTGATTGACTAGATAGACATGACTATACCGAGAAGTTAGATTGACCAACCCGGGCAACCCGGGCAATGAAGATGCAATCTCAATCTGAGCTTCGGAATGAATGCTCATGCAGACCTGTTTATGTTGAATAAACTGAGCCCCTAGATATGAAGCATAAACCAGAACGTTGCAGCTAGAAAACAATATAGAACTATATAGAAAGATATGGAGAGTCCAAATTCATCTGCACATATGATGTTGGATCTTGTGGTCACCAGTTGAAGGAAGCTTTTCGCTGCCGTCCAACTGCTTGCTTAGAAGAGGTCTCGGCTCTGCGATCTAAGTAGAAGTTGGGGACAGATGGATGGGGAGATAGTGATGATAGGTGGGCAAACCCCGATCGATGTACCTGAAATCGCCATCTACAGGATAGTGAATCTCACTATAAGCGGCAGTGACGTTGAGTGAACGCCATGTTGCTGGGTCACCTCTCATGGGTTGCTCAGACTGGAATAAATAATATCCTTGGTCAGCCAATGGTGTAAGAGCACAGAAGGTAGTGCAGCATCATCTCCAAGAAACTCACGTCGAACAGTACCGAATTATTGACCCCCACGACCTTCCAGCAGAGGTGTTGACTAATTATATCAGTTGTTTCTTTCACGGGTAGTAGCTTTCCTAGGTTATGCCACTCCTGTCTCTCATAAAGGGTATACGTTAACGGAATCTGAGCGGAAGCGAGGACACCTGCCTTCTTTTGCTCACGGCAGTTGTCACAGCCACCTCTCTCCGTGCCCTGGGCGTCGCTCAGCTTAGTACTAAAGGTGTAGACACCACCTAAACACTTGTAGCTATCATCTTTCAGGTGCAGGTAAAAGACAATCGTGTAAGGGATACCATCAAGAGCATATCTAGGCGATGTTAGTACCTGTATTTCCCGTAGGGTACTAAACTGGTTGAATACATACCGGTCGTAGATAACATTGATCACATAGTCGTATTTGACTGGCTGGCCTTCATGGAGCCTAGATATTGGTTCACCGTAGAGCTGATTGATCTTCATCTTGACTTCTCCAGGGGCGCGGTCTTCATTCGTGTTGGGTTTCTTTACTATATCGTAGTCGTACCCGTATTTGCGCCAGAATCTCGTATCATCCGATGTGAAATACTTTTCTTTGCTAACATGGAATGGTTTGAGAGGATCATTGGGTTTAGCGTCGCTGCTGTGGGGTTCATCGAACCAGTGGTCTTGATTTAAGACCTGCCAGATAGCTGTAAGCCGGTCCACATTACTAGCTCTAGTTAGCCAGTAATCTCCTGATATCATGAGCGTTATATTGACTTATGATAGAGCCAAAAGATCGGGTCGAACGCTGCCACAGGAACACTGCTCATGTGGCCAGCTCCCTGCAAGTCGGGCCTGCTAGGGTCACCAAGATAGTCCGTGCCTCCCACCCAATTCTTGGGGTGCTCTGGTTAGTCTCTCATATTCTGTCACAATGAAAGGGACTGCATCGGACTCACATGGACATTATTATGAATATATTCTAGGGAAAGGATATCTCTCGTCTGCTGTGATGGGGGCGGTTTGTTCTCCTCGTTGAACCATTTTGTTGACGCAAACGCCCCCCAGCTGCTGAACTTGAAACTTAATAGTCGGTGCACTTCATAAGTAAGTGTCTGCAGAGGTGGAAAGCCATCCTTGTTTGGCCTGTACCATGGATGCTCATTCAAGGCGAGGTTACTCTTTTTCACATCCTGTCCGGCGTCCTGTACGTGCGGGTTGTTCTTCAGAAGCCCGTATTTGGTCGTCGCCTGACATTTATCCCACTTTGCTCTGTTAGCGAATACTCATCCCATAAGAGAGCTCGAGGCCTACTGGATAATAGTCGTCTTTCTCTGGGTCTATACGCTCAGGCGGGATGTTGAAGGGTTCATCCAGATTCCCCATAAGATCGGGAGCCTTGTATTTATACACAGGGTTGGGGAGCTCAATAGGTGTTTCAGGGTTTGCAGGGTTTAATATAACCACCTTGGCTAATCCGCAAAGAACTGGCAATGACAAACGCCCAGTCGCGTGGGGGCCGCTAGTCTTTGCGAAGTCCCAGTAAGGGAGGCGCCACTGACGAGCGGCATTTCGCCATTCCTGCTTGTGCGACTCGGGAACCGTATCCTTGATGGTGGTTTCCATAATTTCGAACAGACGTTGCTGCGCAAAAGGGTCAGAGCCGACGGCGCAATAGGAACGTCAAATGACTAACTTCAAACAGGAGCATGTATGGTCGGTGCCATGTGGGAAAAGTAACGTTATTGTGCACGCAATATCCAGACTTATTCGGCTCAGGAGGTTCCTTCTCGTCCCAAGTTATCAATGGGAAGTGATGTATTCCTACATCCTGCCATCAGTCCTGCTTTCCAAAACACTAATGATACCGTCACAGACCTGCAATTTGGAAGTAGGAAAGTCTGTCTTTGTAGTCGATAGATTGGAACTCACGTAGCGCCCATATAAACATGGACAGCTGAATTCTGCTCTGTCGGCTAGTGTCTTCATACCATTCATCAATGTCACGACGGACTGGAATGATCTGGTCGGCGTCGACAGGGATGCCTTCGATAACATACGGTTTGTTGCCACTCATTCTGGATGTATGCTTTTCAGCTGCTTCCAGGGTAGGATAATGATGATAGTAAGAAATAATGTACTGATGAAGCTCCCAATAACCAGGTTAATCCTGATGATCCTACTGGGTTGCTGGTCTACTTTATCTTAGGTGGTGGATGCAATACCGATTGCTACAACTACCGTTTGCATCCTGACGTTTGTCCTAAGGTTTAACGTCCCAGCGGGATATATCTGTTATGATCTCACGTCTTCCGGCTTGTTGCTATGGTGGCAATTGTGACACAGTGATCTGCCACTTTTCGGTCTAGCTGTAACATACGACTGGCTTGATAAATTGGCACTGGAACATTCCTACATGTATAGAAATGGGAGTCTAGACACCTTTTCGGCTGAGTAGTTGATGTTGGCAAATAGCAAATACACCAATATCCTCTGCTCTGAATTCTAACGTAAGATAATCTCCTTGCGCCATCTACCGTCAGACGGGTGTCTGCTTTCAGTGTGGCGAAACAATGGAAACAGCTTGGGTCTTATAAGGCCTGCGTGGGTGGGGTGGTGTCTATGAATATCAAATCTTTCGATCCAGAAATCCTACAACACAATGAATTGAGGATGGAGGAAATCCACATACCAAATGCGAACCTAAGATAGACAAGCGAACAAGCGCCAGTTGATGCTCGTCGTGGCAAAGATAAGTCTGTGAATGAGAGATGAAGAAAACTTCGGACTGTCAAATTATCGGGCTCTTTGCTTATACGTGGAGATAGCACACAGGGAAATTCACCTTTAACTGTGGTAAGAGGCTGTAAAACAGCAGATTTGTTTAATGATGGAGTGCTCAAACTAAGTGTTTAGGGTCATAGGATAGTGGAGCTAATTAGTAAATAGTTAATCTTATAACCTCTAATCATTAGGACTCATAACCCTGGTAATAAGTACATAGAAGAAACTGGCTTCTCTATTTCTGACACACCCTTCTTCTAGAACTGGAAGTTATGATGTAACGAAAAATAGTCTCAGCCTTACAGTTTACCTAATGAGAAAGATGCACATTCTTCCCACACTACACTTCTCTACTTCATTAGCTCCTTATTTAATCTGAGCCTAGAGCTGGTTCCTGCATGACACAGACTGATTCTGTTGTTCATCAGTCTAGCCTCTCCCACTTAGATACATAATGCATGTTTGAGTAAAAGGAAACCTTAATAGTCAATGTTGTAATAGATAGTCCTCTGGAATACTTAAAAGGCTGTCCATTCTTGCACCATATAATACATATCCAAGGTTGGCAGGATACATCAAGCTGTATAATCATCAGACCATACGTGTATTATAAAACTAAAATAGGAAAATAATGGTGACTTTGTAGTACCCATGAATGACTACAGGACTTATTACGTCCTTTTGCACAGGGTACAAATTATACTGATCAAGAGCTTGGCTCTCGACATCTGTCGCAAGGCAGCTTTCTAGCTGTCTGAGTCATTAGACGATAATAGCTAGTACAGTAAAGTCGTGGTTTGTGTCGCTGCGAAGGTGCTGAGGAGGGAGAGGAAGAGAATATCCGGGAAAGATAGTAGGGAACAGTGGTTCCATATCTAGAAATTCATGGGGGCCTAGCGCTGCTGCATGCGGCGACGACAGCTTATAGTGGCTTTAGGAAGGCCCGCCAAATTCTATCTCTCCATGAGCATATATTCATTTAGGAGTGAAATTACCTCCGGCTGGGGGGTAGGTAACTACGGCATTATGAATTGCAATAGTGGGGCACGCTGAAATCACTCGAAATACCAACTTAATCTTAGTTCCTCGTTTTCTGCTTCAGAAATAAGACTCTTTCGACTCTTACCAAACACTGCCAAGGGCTTTTGGTAAGAAGCCAAGCCTGCTCATAATCAGCCATCTTCCTCGTCAAATACACCACGAAATTAAAAGCATGTGTACACGCGTCCCAGTAGCCATTATAAGGCGCGTGCCAGCCAGTTTACCTCCTGTTTACGCCACGAACTCCACGAAAGTGATCCTACTTTCATACCAAACCATAACCAAAATGATTGTTCCCTTATATCTCACCAACCACTAGATATTTTAAATCGATATTCTATATTTAGATTGACTAGATACGAGGCTATCTAGTAATATTAGTATTTCTAGAGAAATCCTAGAATTTAGTGATACTAAACAAAATAGTGAGGGTTGGTTAACCTAGGCGGATAAAACCTCAAAAACCATAACCAACGGTTTAACTGACATTCCTTAGGTTAGGAACCGAACCCTCACCCCTGCGAGTGTGGTGAGAGTCGGATTCGATTTTAGCGGTTCAGTTATGCAACTCTAAGCAAGCACGACCTAATATGTACGATCTAGAAAAACAAAAAAGAGGGAAATAAGGCAATTATAACAAACAACGCTCACTCGGCCTTAGCAACAGGCTTCTTGTCTCTTGGAACACGTACCCACCAGTACAACGAACAAGCTGCAAAGATATTAAAAACAATAAATACCCACAGGAACCCAAAATTCCTCCAGATATCCGAGTAACTCGACGAAACTCTACTGAGAAACACATTCGTCTCCTTGATCGGGCAGAAGCTGCAGTTAGAAGTCGCCATTTCGTCTTCGAGGTACCCGCCCATACTCGACATGTATGAACCCATGTACTCGCCGCATGTCCCATTGGCTGGGTCAAAGCGCAGATACTCATTGTCCGCGCAGGTTACGTTCGTATTCGATATGCCCGCAGACAACATCCCGCTAACCAGGTACGTAAACGGCGAAACGCGATGCATGAAGATCCAGAAGCCGGGGAGCTGATCTGGTGTCGCTAGAACACCGCAGAAAAGCAGACAAAGCAGGAAAAGCAGGTTCCCTAGGTTTCCAGCGTTCTCGGCGGCGTCAAACGCTGCGATCATAAAATGTGCAAAGGTGGACGAGAAGAGAAGGAAGGTCCAGACCATCAGCCACATTTGTGTGCCCCGCAAGTGCACCGCATCTGTTGGTTCGGCGTTGTGGTAAAGACCAATCGGGTAGTACCAGCACAGGAACATAAGGACGGACATGAGCGAGTTCCAGGGGAGTTCAACAATAATGTTGGAGATGATGAAGGCTTTCCAAGAGTAGGTCTTTGCGGGTCGTTCACGGACTTCGTATAGCGCGCGCTGGGCGATGAAATGCGGCATGATTTGTTGGATGAGCTGGCCGAAAAGGGTAAGTAGCATGAAGATGCCGAACATTTGATTCTGGAGGCCTTGGATGGTGTTGGGTGTGTGGAAGAGGGAGAAGCCGACGAAGAGAGCGGATAACACGCAGAGAGCGGTCTTGGAGTAGATGTAGGAGGGTGACCGCCCGATTTGCTGGAAGACTCGTACTTGGACTTGGCAGAGCTGGACCCAGAAAGGAGCAGCGAATTCGCGGTAGCTGGCTTTGTCTTCGCGGTTTTGGCTGGATGTGGTGCGGAACAGGTTGGTTTGATGGGGACATTCGTGTTTCAGTTCAGCAAGGTGCTCTTGGACTCGTGCATATTCGGGGGATCTACGCCAGGTCTCGAACCAGTTGATGTTGGTGTGAGATCCAGGAGCGGCACCGATCACGTCGAGCATCCATTCGGCAGGATTAGCAGCTGGAGGACATGGAGGGCCACCGTTGCGGACGAAGTAGTCAATCAGTATTTGCGAGTTCTGACCGACTTCCCCAAAGTAGACAGTACGACCACCAGCCTGAAGGAAGAGGAGACGATCAAAGCGCTGGAACAGCATGGCAGATGGTTGATGGATAGTACACACTTGGAACACATTAATGACAGCTATAAATGCAGGATCAGACACTTACAAATAGCCTGGCCGTTGTTCTTCAGTTTATCAAGGAGATCAAGAATAGCCCAGGATGTCTGTGAATCAAGTCCTGAGGTCGGTTCGTCTAGGAAAAGGCTGTGCACGCAACGCTATGCGCCGATCCCGCAATGGGGACAGACGCAATACACTCAGTCAGTAATTTGCCCAACGCCGCAGTAATTTCCTGAGGTTACAACTTACAGAAGTTGCGGCCTGGCCGCAAGCTCTACCCCGATTGTGAGACGCTTACGTTGCTCAACATTGAGGCCTTCACCAGGCACACCAATAACAGCATCAGCATACTCAGTCATGTCAAGAAGCTTAATCACTTCTGCCACGTAGTCAATCTTCTCTTGACGAGGAATGTGAGCGGACTGACGCAGAAGAGCAGAGAACTCAAGTGCCTCGCGCACTGTAGCAGTACTCAAATGCAGATCTTGTTGCTGAGCATAGCCGGTCTTACGTTGGAAGGAGTCATCACGCGGTTGACCATCGACGAGCATTTCTCCACTAATATTCCCCATAGTGGTGCGCGTAGCTAGGACATCCAAGAGCGTGGTCTTTCCAGCACCAGAAACACCCATAAGCGCCGTCAAGGTTCCCGGTTTGACCCATCCGTCAACATGGTCGAGAATCCTGCGATTCTCCTTTCCAATCTTGATATCAAAGCAGACATCCTTCCACTGGAAGATCGCGGTCTGGCGTTCAATCATGGCAAGGTCATCTGAGCCGGTCTTCTCGACTGTGACGCTGCGGCCACTACCCCCTTCAAGATCTTCATCTGACTTTCCTTTCTTCAGAGCTTTGTGTCCGCGAGGAAAAACTAGGATCTCGCCCTTCGGCTTCTTCTCAGTGATGAAGTCAGTAGCAACGAGATAGACGGCCCCGAGCAGGAACATGTAGGCGAATATGACACCGATGTTTCTCCATTTGTGCGAAGCGGTATAGCTATATGCTGAATCAATGTAGGCATCGCCATTGACAAAGGCTTGTCCAGGAACTGATCCGACGGTAGAGCAAACACGGTTGTTAAGCCCGAGATCCGTATAGCCAGGACCCGATGGGACATAGTTCATGCACGGGAAGTCGCGGTTGTGGAACTCATTGATCAGGAGTGACTCAAAGCCATAGCTGATTGGATTGATGTATGCAATCCAGCGAGCCCATCCAAGCATATACCCAGTCGGGATAGCGAACCCAGTATACATGCTGAGACCGAGAAGTAGAACGGCGGAGAAGGGCAGAGCTTGGACAAGGGATCTGGATAGCGATGCCATAGACCGGAAGAACATAGACATAGTGAGAGTCAGTATGAACGAAGTGAAGACAAAGAAGAAGAAAGCACCGGGTTCTCTCCTTAAGTTGGTCATGAAGTACAGAACTATATTGGATGTAATAGCGTTGAGAATCTTGTAGGGCAAATCCATTATCATTGATGAAAACGCTTCAGCAGACGGGTGGTAGAGAGCGTATCGGGAGTGCTTCTCTATGATCCCTCGCTGCGCATATAGAGTCAGCATTTCAAGGCCGCAACCAAGGGCGTTCATAAGAACAGCAAAGAAGAGAAGAGCACCGCGCTGAAAAAAGGTACTGGTGTCAGCCTTGAGGTTGTAGAATATACTGGCGATAACAAGGGATATGATAGTATTTCCGAATAACGAAGAGATTGTGACGCTGGGGTCAGTCTTCAATCGTTGATACCCACGCCACAGGCACAGTTTCACCTGTTGAACATAGGAAAGAGTGTAGGGTGATGATACACGCTGAGCCTTGGCTTGCTGAGCTCGCCGAGATTGCTTTAACTTATCCAGGTATTCACCATCCAGTGCGAACTTTGCATTATAAGTCTTGATGTCTTGCATCAGCTGTGCTCGCTGTGGTGAGGCCTTCCATCGTGCAGCGAACTCATCAGGTGTTCGAGGTACGCGGCCTTCATAACCTGGCTGAACAACACGCTCAAGGTGGCTAGTCATAGAGGTGAGAAAGTCGGCATCAGTTTGTCGGTCAGGGCAAACAAAGCCCATATGAAGGAAGTACTGCTTCGCCATGGATGTGGGACCAAAGTAGATCTCGCGACCTTCGTATAGGACCAGGGCCTTATCAAAATAGTCGTAAGCGGCCTGAGGAGCCTGGTATAGAGAGACACAGGCTGTGGTGCCATTGATATCTGCCTGCATGCGTAACGTTTTGCAGAACTCAATGGCATTCGCACTATCAAGGCCACGAGTAGAATTGTCCCAACATTGCAGCGGTGCATTGCTGAGGCAAGCTTCAGCAATGCTAACCCGCTTGCGCTCTCCACCAGACACACCACGAATGAAGTCGTTTCCTACAATTGTGTTCTTCGTATGGCTAATACCAAACATGGCCATGATCACGTCTCGCATGTGGCCGGCATACTGGGTCGCATTCACCCCCCCAGGAATGTGTCGTGGTGCTCGGGCGCGCGCAGCGAAATAAAGGGTATCTCCAACAGTGAGCTTGGGGAAGTGGACATCAACCTCCGCGGTATAGATGGCTTCGCCTCTGAACTCGTGGGCCATTCGTTTTGCGCTCACACCTGACGGGAATTAGTAAAGAACATTGCTCTTGAGTCAAATCAGACATGCCTTGGAAATTGATGTTTGAGTTTTTATCCACATGAAAGCCGTAAGTCTCTCCAGCAATGGTCTTCAAGAAAGTCGAGCATCCGGATCCAGGGGGTCCAAGTACGACCAACATCTCTCCAGCCTCCACCAATCCTTCCAGGTTCTGCAAAATCTCGATTTTGCACTGCTTTTGACCGAATGCTTTGCTTACCAGGCTAAGCGCCTTTAGCCAGACATTGCCGACGGTTTTCTGGTAATCAGTGTCGGAACCGAAACCATGCACATTGAGATTGCTGAAGGCGACCCCCAAGGTTCGCAGTGGATGTGCCTGCCTGTCCCCGGTGTGCATCTGCAGCATGGCCTTGCACCATGCCCGAGCATTGAAGCGTTCACCATTGGGGTCCAGCGCCGACCCTGCCTCCGCAGCAAAGGGGTTTTGTCCCGCCGTGGAATAGTTGCTCTGCTCTGTGAACTGTCTGGCCAGCTGATGAACCTCCTCTTCCCTCTTCTCCACACTGGTACTGGGGGAGTTGCCAGCCTCATGGTCTTCATTCATGTTTGCGCGGGTTCTGGTTTACCGAGTTCGCCAATGAGCACCACGAATGTATCAAGCTATAGTTATAGGAAGTTGAGAGAACAGAAAATAGGCCACACCAGATAAAGCAACAACCCCATTTTATTCGCCGTTCCTGGATTCATGGATGACGGGATTCATTGTACTATTGTCGGTTCGGCCCGCCAAAGTCAATGGCTCTCATCAGCCAAATCAGCCACATATCGATGGCTAACGTCAGCCAGATCTTCGGGCCGCAATCCACCCTGCATCCGTGTCCAACCATCTGTCCTGCTAGTTGCATGCTGTGGAGATCGCCGTTATACACGTCTTCTCCCGCGAAGTCTACAATCACTAACGAAGGTGCAGGTGGCTTCACGGGTACGGATAGTTCCTGTTCCGCAAGCTCTTTGGGTTCCATTTAGGATTCCGTTTCTACTCCTCTGAGATCCAAAAAGGATAGTTAGACAACTTGAAAAGTCTATCCGAGCAACTGTGTCATTATAGCAGCTGTGCTACGTTATCAGCTGGACTGCTATCAGAGCCCTATTTCAATCGGTTCGGCCGAGCGCGTTCCTCTTAATTCTAATCAATTGCTATGATAGAACCTAGTGTATAACCGAATCTAGAGAAGGCAGATATATTCTTCAAGTTCACAAACGCTTCTTTCAGCTCGTGCTAAGCTCGCCTTCTGCATCTCTCCCAGAATATCAATACCCACCTTCTTCATGTCCGCCAACAACTCCATCACCGCCCTTAATTGATGATGGAAGGCGCATATACAGTGTAATTAACGATGTATATTGCAAGGATAGAAGCAATGCGGAGGGATCCGAAGATTAGCAATGAGGTCGCATGCAGGCTACATGCTCGCCTAGCCAGGGAGTGATGCAATATATTCACAACGATATACTTATGTTCCTCGTGTTCTTTTTCAGCAGTGCGGGATAATTAGCTGTCGATGCAATCTGCCAGACAATCTGACCAGTTACCAGAACAAGCACAGTCGCTCGCTGTCGTCCGCCGTAGACAGACATCATATAGAGTCGTCTTACTCCGCACTTTCCGCGTCGGCTATCCCACCCAACCTACCTCATCCATCCGTTCATCTACTTTAAGGATCTACACGACAAACCGGCATACACGATGCCACAAGACACGACGGAGAAGAAAGCACGGAGCGAGAGCCTGGGAAAGGAGAAGCGAAAACCCGTCCGTAGTGACCCTGAGAAACGGCGGCAACAGAACATCCGAGCGCAACGTAAATATCGTGAGTGCGGCTTGGATTCTCAAAGATAAATCGGGGGAAAAATTACTGATAGAGTGTTCTTTCCAGGAGAGAAGCTCCGTGGGCGATTGGAGGACCTTGAAATGCTTGCAGCATCACTGGCACAGAGACCCCCGATGACGGGCAAAATCCAGTCCGAGTCGATCCTAGGTGATGGTGCCTGGGACGTGTCGATTCCCGGTTCATCGATAGCTACTCCCAAGGACTGCCAACAGCTTCTTCCACAGTCAGACTATACCGCATCAACACTAAATATCTGGGACTCTACCACACATCTGACATCCTCAGACAATACCCTATCGTCGCCAAACGTCTGGGATTCTATACTCAGGGACTGCACAGCACAACTCTCACATTCAGATATTTCCCCATCAACACTAGCATTCTTGGACTCCACAAAACAATTTCCACCATCGGAAACTCCCTTGACGGCACCGAGAGTATGGGTTCCTCCAACCCACGTCATTCCTTCCGTTCTCATCCAAGATAAACACAGGGACGGCATTGATCGATGCTGGTCGACCACCACCATCAAATGTAATTGTTCCAGCCCACATTTCATGATACAAACGCACCGTCCCGGCCCATACAGCTCTACCGAGGTCAGAATACTCAGGACTGGACCGGTCATACCTACACCAGATCCATATGCCAACCATCTTCGCCTGGAAACAATCTGTACTTTAGCCGCAATGGATACTCTCAGGATGCATATTAGCATTACAGAGGAGATGATGTGTACCAAGGAATCTCCCTCGCCATTCTATAGGTCGCTTAGGGCATCAGCGGATGACATGGTCAAGGAAAACATGATCTGCACAGTGCAGAGGATTTTCATGACACTCAAGCCAGACTTGAGGCCAAGTATTGAACAAATTACTGTCAAACATCCTCCATACATTGATGTTCTGCCTTTTCGGACGCTACGGAAGAATCTCATCCTGCAGCAGCAAGAGGTAGACGAGGATGAATTTCTCCGCGATGCCGTTACTGGTTTAGTGTGCTGGGGAGGGGCAGGCGTTGGGAGGAAGGATCGAGATACTTCTACTGGATATGCTTCGACTGGTACTCCATGGGACAACCGCAGCTGGGAGGCGAAGGAATGGTTTCTGAAGAAGTACTGGTCTCTGCTAGGTGGTGAAGAGGGAGAACTTGTACGACAAAGTGAGTGGTGGCGCAATATCAGAGGCGAGGACCCGCTGGACATAGAGGCAGTGGCATGACTTTACGAATTGCCCTCCTATCTATCAGCCTATATCTCTTACACCATCAGCAACTCTAGCATCACTCTGAGAGTGAAGTTCTCCTCGCCAAACTTCGCCTCCAAATTTTCAACTGCCTTCTCCAACTCACCGTGCAGTTCCCGCAGAACGCTGAGCGTGTACTGCAAGCTTTCCGTTTTCTTCATGGTCTCTAACACCTCTCCTCTCGCTTGGCCTCTTGGCTAGTTTGCCCTCATGCCGTCTTTTCACAAGGAACGCCCGCAACTGTATCATCACCCCTGCTAGCTCGGGATTTGACTCCAGAGTCTGAATGCAGTGGATTACCGTGAAGGAATACTTGCCTTCGTCGAGATCCTCGGCAAACCCCTTTGCCTTTGAGTAGTCACCGGAAGCGAGATTTTGATAGTCATCGCGGATCTGGAAGAAGCGTCCAATGAGGCAACTAAACAAATTCATATCGCTGTTAGAAACCTTGTCAACGGCCGGACTCTCAGAGATCATCATCCGCGTCAACATGCGAAATAGACTGCCCGTCTTCATGTCAACCATTTTCAAATACTCAGCGATGGTTGGGCAGAGCGTGTTGTGCGTCCAGTAGAGGTCGTAGCTCTGCCCCACGTGCAGCTGCTGTGACTCTTCAACGGAAATATAGAAGTTTTCTGAGGTCTGGAGTGGGCGGTTATATCTGTAGCTGTGATGTATTGGTACGTTGCGCTATTGATTGTCTGGGCCATGCCGTAGATGCTATGTGTAGAGGGCTTGCCGCGACGTAGTGGAGAGTTGTCTTCGAGATCATCGAGCCTGGGGTTGTCAGACACTGGAAAAGCGCGATAAAAGAATGAGAGCAAGTACGCGCCAACTGCACCACATCCTCTAGAAAAATCGAATCCGTGCTTGGTTGGGAGACATGCGCTGGCTTCTTGGCGCCATTAGTGCCATTCGTCCTCGTTTCATCATCTACACTGAGGCAATTCCTCTTCCTCTTGAGCTTGTTTGGCTTGGATCATGGCAATCACCCTCAACAAGGCCGCTGGTTCTGTTTTCCTGTGACCACCTTGACGGGTATTTCGCCAGGCCGTGCTCGCTTCTCAGCAACTGCAACTCATTAAACTTGGTTGATCTGTTGTACCGCGGGCAATTCGTACTCCAGGCTGCGTTGCCGGAAAGGGTATACTGCATGACATTGATGTATCTCTTCAGCTCATCACTGACAACCGCCCGCGCATTTGTCTCTTTGACATTGCGGACGTAGTTGGCACATTCAAGGCGGATACATTTCTTGAGGATATCCCTTGCTTCTTCTTCGCTACACCCATGCTCATTCATGACAAAATCATGCCAGCGGTCTGAACATTAGCGTCATTCTTTTCCTTCTCAAAGGAGAAGAGGTCATTCAGCAGCGACGTCTGGATCAACGCAGGTATGATAAGCCTCTTTGCCTCTTCTTCTTCCTCGTTGGGAATTGTAATTGCGCAGCCAGAGGTGACCAGCCGTACCAGAGCATGTACCCGACGTCGAGGGCCCTGTAGGGGATATACTGCTCAAGTGTCGTAAAGTTCCTGTCCTCCTTCCGCCTGCTTAAATATCGTACACCAGAGTAAATATGGTAATATGATAATGTCCTATATATAATAACTGAACTATGATAGTAGAATTACTTCTCCTTAACTACAGTTGGACTCTGGCTAAGTCATGGCCTTGAAGGACTTTGTTAGCCGATCTTCAAGGTCCATAAATCTCTCAAGGACCAGGATAACCTCCTTCCAATTCCCATGCGTGGCCGGGTATTGTGCCTCTCCAGCCAACAATGCCTGTTGCTCCATGATTTCAGCAGCATCCATTAGGCCAGCCTCAGCTAGAAAGTCCCTCGCATCTAGGTAACGCCTTGCCGCGAGTGGGAAAGTGAATTCAGCAAGGTCATTCACAACACTCGGCAACACATTTTTCACAGCATCCAGAGTTAACCGCAGCGCTGACACCCCGCCTGATGAACCAGGAAACATGATATTGCTTTCAATTTGGTCCTGAAGTATGCCAATCGTGCGCGCAATCATGTCTGGCCGGGAAACATCCTCAATATGACGAAATTGAGAGCGAAACACAAATGGCTCATTGACATACTCTATGCCTTTACCGTTCCATGCCTCAATAAATTCTTCTAGTGGTAGGAGCACGGCTGGATATCCTGCCGGGTCGTGTAGCAGAACCATTCCCTTATCATCGTCCACGCCCAAAACCACAACGAAGTGGTCGGCTCCATTGAGCGCTGTATAGTTCGGATTGTAAGAGAGGTAGCCCATATTGAGAGGGCCAGCAAGAACAGGCCCCTGGATGACTGCCTCACGCAGTGCACATAGGGCTGAAACAGCATCACCACCGCGGTGGTCATTGCATGTCCAGCCCATCGTCTTAAGGGCCACACTGATACCGTCATCCGGATTCGTGTATGGGTTACTGAAAAAGGAAACGGGGCCAGTGTCAAGGCCAATGAATTGTTTGCCAAAGGGCATTGTTGTGAGACACTCAATGAAGCCTGAGGAAGGTAGCGATTGCGGATCGTAGCCCCAGGCTAGGAGGACCATATACAGACTGTGGGCATAGCAGTAAGGGCCACTTCCAGTATAGGAGAACATGATTGTAGCAATGTGCTTGTTACACTAGGTATCAGAATGGATAAACTGGCGATATAAGGTAAGTTACAAGTTAGATCAGCTACAGTTCCGCTGTTTAAGTATGTTCTGAGGAGAATTAGGCAACAATTTCTTGACCTTGTCCAAGAAGAGCTCTATTGGTTACAAATTCCCCTCTTGTGGATGTCCAATGACAAAGGGTATAATCAAACTAATCTAGCCTTAGAGTTCATCCATGCTTTTTGCGGATTAGTCAAACCTGATATATAATGATTATAGGCTCTATCCTGGATTTCCTGGTGTCCAGCCTAATGATAATTGTTCAGACTAAAAGAACGTAGGAACTGAGCAGCCCATAAATCCGGCAGTGGCAACACTAGTTGCTCCTGGCCATAAGCTCATGAAAGCCACTAGCGCCATGATGACAGGCCGGTGAGTCTGTAAGTGGGTGGCAATGCCGAAAAGATACTGGCTACTCGCGGCATGCAGGGCAGTTCAGTTTGTTACACCTTAGCCGTCGTGTCCGCTGTCAGTCTGTACCCTGGGGTCTGTCCTAGCCTTTACCATGTGATTCTCTCCATAAAAGCTATTTATGGAGAGGGGGCTAAAAAGGCCTGGACGAGTTATTTGGTATTCTGTATTTAGAGGGGCCAACTAAGGTCTGTGTAGCCCTCAGTTGCTGCTATTTGTATTGAACAAGGCTACTGAATCAGGCTATGAATGTATTATTATATCTTAGTATTTCCTTAACGATAGGTACCTTACTGGAGTTAGTTTTCTCCAGCAGTCACCTCAGGAATCTCCATACTGGACTGGTCTGATTTCATACCTCCCTAGGGCCTGTCTCGACCGTGTTCGAGTTCAAGAGGTTTGACGGTCAGCGCGACATCACATCTCTGGACGTCTATCCTTTTGCTTCCATCCTGTCAAAAAAGCAGACTTCGACGAGCAGGACTGGCGCAAATCGAGGCACTTTCATCTGCACATCGCAGTAGTCTTTTGCGCCACCGTTCGTTGACCGAGGAAAATTTGTTTCTTCAGGTGGCCGAGGTGAAGCACACGTACTATGCAGGGCCCACTCTCGGTATATGCGATGAGATCGAGAGCCAGGTTGTTATTGACTTCGAGACAGCCTTTGCCGTGGAAGATCCCAAACAACAAGAATGGAAGCCTAAATTGGAGGTATTACTCGGCAGCTCCGCCACAGAGGAAGCAGAAAGCGAATAAAAGCAAAAGTTGTCAAGCAACCTGCTGTCAACAGGAGAACATTCACGACGATATGTGCCACGACGAAAAGCAGCGGACCGAGTACATTGACAATCTGCTACCGAAGGGCGAGCACGGTTACCAGCAGCCGTCAATCGCCACCAAATCCGCAATTCTTGCCAGACAGCACTGGCTCTGGCCGAGTAGAGGCTCAGGCTCGTCACTGACATGGCCCTCAGAATGATGGGAAAAGGGATGCTCAGGTCCACCTTACTGTGATGCAATTCGAGGTGGTCAGCGATGCCTATCTCGAATTCCTCAATTACATAAACCGTCTATTCGGAACGAACACCTCCCGTCGAGCCCATGAAGAAGGACTGTGTGCGTTCTTGGCTGAAGCTAACGAGAGCATCGTCGCGAATCTGCTGGACAAAAAGTCTTCATTTGCTCGCTCTGTGCAGCCACAACAGCCCACTCATCCACAGTCCCAATACCCACCGCCCCCTCCTGCGGCCCCGCACCCTAACCCTTACTCCGGGTATAACCAACCACGAATTACCTGAATCCGAATTTGGTGCCTTCACAAAGGCAAGCATACGGGAACGCCGAGCCGTGGAATCCGATGCCCCAGCCTATACTCCGGAGCCGACATATATCCCGTCCCAGCACAGTCCACAGTCGCAAATGCAGGTTCCGCCAACTAATCAGTACCCTAACTAGCCAATGTCTCCGTAGTATGCTGAACTTGAGCCCCAGTATGGCGGACAAGAACTTCCTGATAGGATATCGTCCGCTGCAAATAACAATGCACCTCATTAGGCTTGGCAAAGAGAGGCGGGGGCTCAATGGGACGCTCGCTTTACTCCACGTTGAGGATATTTGAGCAGAAACCGTGGCACACTATGTTCGCTGGCCAGAGTTAGACCTTGCTGCATCTCAAATATCGTGGCAAAAGAAATAGTCGTCCGAAATTTGATCCGTAGCTTTTACTACTCTGTCTGGTTTGCAGTCCTCTTGTTTCACTCTTCAAGCTTAGTTAAGCCATTGCCATCAACAAAGCTCTGAAGCTTCAAATATTTTTTCATCAGCCATAGGGCAAAATCATGGTAGGTGTCAACACCTGCTCTGGTAATACCAATACCCAAGATTATATTTCTCTTTGTAGATACCAGAGCTCCTAATTATTTAATAACTTTCTATTTAGTTTTATCTATTTTAGGGGTTTTCTATATGTCATACCTTGGGATCCGCCTCTGCTATTCCCCTGCTAGTTGAGACGCGCTTGTCCTTAGTTTGTGCTCGCACGCCAGCTGAAACTGTGGCCGCGCTTTCAGGTGGAAACCGTCATTGTATATTGTGGTTGCATGGTGTAAATCAGTTACAAAAAATATTCGACCACCTGAAAAGCTGGCGCTGTTTTTAACCATAGGGCGGTCATCCCACGTACGTTAGTTATCGTGGTTAGAAGAAGAAGATCGATGACTAATCTTTCTGCCAGTTAGTTACAGAAGGGAATGCAAAGTGTGCAAACATGCTTATCTTCTCATGACTTCCTTTTCCTTACTCCGTACGTACTCTTTCTTTGTCGATGACCGTTATGTATCCAACCATCCATTATGGAGATCAACTAAATACCATCCAAAATCCTCAGTTCCATCAAAGTGATTGTCAATACAAATAGTCTACTGTACAGGGTCCTTGAAGAAACCTACTGAGTATTGGAGCAGAGTGTAATAATGTCATAATCTTGGGCATAGAAAAGTGGAATTGGCTCACAGAAGTGAGTAGTAACATTCTTCACAAGGAAATGACAAAATAAGCTCCTTCTAGTGTACTATTATGGGAGCCTAGTACATAGCCACAGTCACTAGACAATCAATCCAGTACATACACCTATTTATGGGTTGTTGGGCTGAGCCAAGACACATTCACGTGATTCATACGAGCGCAGCCACAATCAGATCATTCTCAGATGACGGATTCAGCTGAAGTTATGAACTCATGATAATCTGGGCATGCCTTCAACGATTCTCCTCTAATACAAACTCGAATTTAGGGTGCAGTCTGTCAGTTTACCACTCTGGTGACTAGAACATGTTCGGCGATGGTTCTGTTCGCTTTAGTAAATCAAAGGAAAAATGTTACACCTGCCGACGGCAACGGATTGTGTGTGATGCCGGGAAGCCATCGTGTATGCGATGCACTTCCCGAGGAGTCGAATGTCTGGGATACTCGGCTACACCTATTCGTTGGGTAGCGCCTACATCAACTCTTTCTTCGGAAGCACCAAGACCCTCCGACATTAGCCATGTCAAAGGCCAGGAAAGGAGAAAACGAGGACGACCGAAGCTATTCCTTATGCAGGGAGCGCCTCAGTCCTCCAGATTTGGATCAGATCCACCTCGGTCTGGTGAAGATCTCGAATCGGAGAAAGGTACGCAGAGTGGAAGTACCAGCAGGACTGCAGCCGTACTCGCGAGCACTAACCTAATCACTGCGGTCTGTTGGCAGGCGTGCTCGTCTCTCGCTCGAGATCAAATCCAAAGATTCCTTGGTCACTTTTTCCGTGTGACTACGAGATGCATAAGATGCTCCTAGAGTTCTCCCATTACTGTATGAGACGGCCGCAGTACAGCCTCGTTGATCTGAGAGCTGACTTTCGCAGTCAACGACCACATCTGCCCGGAATTGGTCATTGTAGATTCACCTCTCAACCCCCACCGGATGGATCTCGACATCCTCCCCTACGTCCCCGATTTCTTGCTCAGTCTTGTGATTTCTGTCTCTGCAATACACCAAGTAATCCAGTCGCAGCCCAATTGGCATTTGATCACACTGAATCGATCACGGGCCTTGCGCAATAAAGTACACCCTGGCGAACTGGAGCCTCTCCAATCGTTTCACCATCCGTTAAACTCTCTAATCTACAAGCACCGATCACGGTCGTTACGAGGATTGAATCAGTATTTGTCCGAAGCAGGAGCTGAAGGGCCAGACCTGGTCTTCCATACTGTTACTGCCATGCTCATGTCCGAGGTATGCAACGTCTCTGTGTTTTCAAAGTCTGCATCTGACATGAGGGTATGGCATTAGATTCAAAGATCAGCATTCTGCAACTGGAAAATCCATTTTGAAGGTCTGAAGAATATCATCGCATGTCAAGGGGGATTTGAAGTGCTCGTATCCACCAGACTTGGAAATCTTCGATATGCCTTAAGCCACTTCATGCTGTAAGTCCTCTCTTCCTTGATTGGCTTATACTGATGGAAGATTCAGAGTTGATGTAATGAGCTCGGTCTTCATGGCTGCCTCATGCTTGCCACTTGACACTCCGTCGCAACTAAGATATATCGACTGGCTACCAGAGATACACAGCGACGGACTGGAAAAAGGATTCCCATGCCCCGATGAGCTCTTGGCATGTATTATCCACACGAACAACCTCAGATTCATTCTTCATCACCATCCCTATGATGACATGGCGCATGTGAACAGTGCTATTCTAGACCTGGTTCGCAATATCATCACTTTCGCCCCAACGGCTTGGGCTGAACGAGCTCTCGAATCCTACAACGAGAGACTGGAAGAACGTGTGGACATGCAGCGACCGCGAGAGCGGTTGGACCTTGTTCCACAGCCTGTTGAGGGCGAAGGCTGGGCGGATCTTGCGTCTACATTCCAAGCAGCTACCTTGCTCTACTGCCTCAGAGCATTAGTTCTCAATCATGGAAAAGAGAACGTCCTTCAAGAGTTGTTGGACAGCCTTTATGAGGGCCTCATCCCGGATGTTCAGTGCCTTGCCAGCGTAACCCTGAGCAACCTTCTCTATATGCTCCATCCTTTAATGGATCAACCGCTCCAGAAAGGCAGGTCGATGGGCCGGTTCATGTTCTGGCCTGTGTTGATGGCGGGGCTGGAAAGTACCTGTAGCTTTGAGGCGTTGTCCGAGAGGCCCTTCATTGTGAGGTCTTTGCAGGAGCTTTGTCGATGTCTTGGTGACATGAGCGCCCTTGACGCGGCAGTGTTCCTCCAGTCGGCATGGAGCATAGACGAGGAAAGTCATTCCGGGAACATGCAAAGAGTGCGCACTTGGGACGAGCTTTTTGAGGGAGTGGGCGTGCACGGCGTCTTCTTTTTCTAAGAACAAGTACTCCAGGGAGCACCGAGTACATAGAAGCACAACAAATGGCATTATTGAATCGCATCCATAAGGTGAATTACGAACAGGCGACAGGGTTTACCCACGAGCCAAGTAGCCGGTCTTACACGACGACTATCCGTATAGACGACGCACCAGCGGCAGAGAGTCGATCAAACGATAGCCCAAACTTTTATACATCCCATGTATATTGACATGAGAATATTAGAGAGATTTTCGGCTCCGTCCCAATCGATTTGTTATGCCAAAGCTATTATCATCCTCCGCGTGGGGCAGCCATCGTGCGGATATATTTATGTATATTCGTCTAGTTCAATGTGCCAAGAGAATCCTTGTCTGACCAATGAGGCACGAAGAGTAGTGACTCAGATCTAGTTTCTCTTAACTACTTGGGACCGCCAATGTCTAATCAGGTCTAGCTATGCCAGTGCTGAGGCCAAGCTCTCTCGACCTCAACTCTGGTGTTCTTATCTCCCGTCTATCTCTGCTTATCTCAATTTTCATCACTAAGTCGAACGCTGGATTCCGCGGAGATCGGCCATTCAGTCGTTAATGAGTCCCTGGGGCTGTTATCAAGAAGATTGTCATAGAAAGTCAAGCCTTTTGGATTCATTGACCAGTCAGAAGGTGTACAGATATCGGCTCGGTCTTGGCGGTGGCTTCGGAGATCCAAGATATGCCAAATCAGCGGGAGAAACGGAGTAGACAAGGCCGGAAACGACATGTTCCTGCTCGAGCTATCTCTTACTCACGGGAGGATGAAGATAATGCTGTGCGGCCAACATCTCGTGGCGTTGTCTTCCCGAGGGTCTAGCCATGGGAATCGCTGCCTGGTTGTACTGCCGCCATAGACGACTGTATTTGCCAGGATATTGCCAGCATGCGGTCGTTCACTGGGGATTGTGATGTTATCTCTTTCTTCTCTTCCGAGTTTACTTGCTTCTGGCATGGTTTGAATCTTTTCCACCTGTCTCGGCTGATCTGTCCATCCTTTCCGAGCCGCTTGGCGTCCGCTCTGACTTGATTCTTTCATACTGCATCTCCTAGGAGCTTCCTTCTCTTTTCTTTTGCTGAGAGTTCATCATCTCTGTGCAGATAAAAGCACTTGCTCCTTTAAAATGGCTGAGACATTGGGTGCTTCAATCAAGTATTATCTAGTCTCTGGCCGGCTCGGTTGCACTCTATTCTTGAATCCAAACTAAACACAAACATATCGAAGCAGTCTGAATCAAACACACTTGGTAAGGGCTTTGACACAAGATGGAAATGTTGAAGCTGGTATTTGCCAGCCCTGAGATCAACCCCGTCAACCACAAAGCAAGGTCGATTCCCTTGTTGAATCCCGTTGATCGCTATGGTCGCGTCTTCTTCTTCTCCTGGTTAGGATTCATGGTGGCATTCCTCTCCTGGTATGCATTTCCTCCATTGGTAAGTAGCCTCGACCTCCATCATTGGCCCCTCTAACAGTTACAGTTGAGCGTCACGATCAAGAAGGACCTACATATGACACAAGATCAGGTCGCCAATTCCAATATTGTGGCTCTGTTGGGAACGTAAGTGACCTTGCACTGTCGGTCAGGTCTCTCGCTCACTAAACAGCCTTCTCATGCGATTCATTGCCGGCCCCCTATGCGATCGATTCGGTCCGCGATACGTCTTTGTTGGATGTCTCCTCTGCGGCGCCGTCCCCACCGCCATGGCCGGACTAGTCACCTCTCCCCAAGGGCTGATTGCGTTGCGGTTCTTCATCGGAATCCTCGGAGCAACCTTTGTGCCCTGTCAGGTCTGGTGCACGGGCTTCTTCGATAAAAACGTCGTGGGGACTGCAAACGCTCTGGCGGGAGGATTCGGCAATGCCGGCGGTGGTATCACCTAGTATGTTCTCTGCCCTTATCCTATGTGGAAAGCTCACATCAACAGCTTCGTTATGCCTGCCATCTATGATTCCCTCGTCCACTCGCAAGGACTGACTCCACACCGCGCCTGGCGAGTCGCATACGTGGTCCCCTTCATCATTATCGTCACACTCGCCCTGTCGATGCTTTTCTTGTGCGAGGATACCCCGACGGGAAAATGGTCTCAGCGGAACGACAACAATCCCATTATACAGAGCAATATCGTCGACCTCCACCGGTCCAGCGGATCCGGCGCCCCGTCCAGCACTAATGTCTCCACCGTTCCGGAGAAGAAAGGCGTCTCCACACCGCAGATCGTCGACACCGAAGCGCAACCGGTTATCGATATCAGCCTTGCAAACAATGAAATGATTCAAAAACCCACGCTTCGAGAAGCACTCCGTGTGATCTTCTCCCTGCCAACGCTGGCGCTCGCTCTGCCGTACGCCTGCTCCTTCGGCGCTGAGCTGGCCATCAACTCCGTCCTCGGTGCGTATTACCTGAAGAACTTCCCCAGTTTAGGCCAGACCAAGTCCGGCCGGTGGGCTGCCATGTTCGGGCTGGTCAATGTCGTCTTTCGCCCGGCGGGTGGGTTCATGGCGGATCTCATCTATCGGTATACCCAGTCGGTGTGGGGGAAGAAGGTGTGGCTGGTTTGTCTGGGGGTTTGTATGGGAGGATCGGCACTGGCGGTTGGACTGCTGGACCCCAAGAGTGAGGGACTGATGTTTGGACTGGTCGTGTTGATGGCCTTCTTCATTGCTGCGAGTAATGGGGCCAACTTTGCCATTGTGCCTCATGTGCATCCAACTGCCAATGGTAAGTTCAGCACACTATTCTATCAGGCGTACGCTAATAGGTCTAGGAATCGTCTCCGGAATTGTTGGAGGAATGGGAAACTTTGGTGGTATCGTCTTTGCTATTATCTTCCGCTACAACGGCACACACTACGATCGAGCTTTGTGGATTATCGGGGCGATTGCTGCAGGGGTCAACATTTGTGTTTCCTGGATTAGGCCTGTACCTCGGACATAGATCATTCCACAATAACAGACTAATCAAGCATCATTCATCATCATCCTTCGTCTGTCTCACTTCCTCTTGAACCTCGCTGGTCAACGTCACAGCCAACACAGACGGGATGGCAACCACCAGTGCCCCCATACATAGCCCCCAGTCCATAGCAAACTGCGTCATGGCCGGCTTGGCCAGCGCATTTAACCGCCACGCCATCGCACCCCCAGTCGCCTGGAATGTCTTGTACGCGCCGACAAGGATGGCCGCCACGGCGGGGGAATTCGATCGCGCACCCATCAACCAGTAGCAAAATCCCTGCCAAAAGGCGTCGTAGGCCCCATAGAAGATATACAAGAAAATTGGACCGGTTGACAGCGCGCTCTGCGTGTAGTCGATATCCTGTTTATGTCCCTGTGCGCTGCGCCGATCATACCATTTCTGGAACGCATACCCCCCGCCCCAGATGGCCATGCCGGTCACGAAGAGGAACAGCCAGCCCACCCGTGCGCGGTTCTGACGGTTCACCCGCGGCATATCGAGGATCAGGCCGATGATGAGGCCGCCCAGCATCTGCGCTATCCAGTACAGGGACCCGTTCAGTGACCGCGTGCGGATGTTAAAGGTCATCCCATTGACGATGTTCTGCTGGTACGAGTAGAAGACATTGGCGCAGAAGAACATGGGGATCATGCAGAGGACCCGCCAGTCCGTCAGGGTCTGGACCGTCAACTTGGCGGTTCGACGCCAGTTCTTCTCCGTCTCTGGCGTGGGCTGTAGTCCTCGCACGCGGACGGAAGCTGGCGGGCAGATCAGCGCACCAAGCAGCCAGCCAATGGCCATGATGATCAACAACGCGATGTAGGTTCCGTCTGTGACGGTCCCGCTGTGTGAGTGGTAGTTGAGTCCGAAGCTGGCGAGCGAGCCCACCCCGCCGCCTAGGTTGAAGATGATCCAGAAGGCGGCGATGGCACGGCCTTTTTGGGATTCAGGCACGTATGTCGTCATGATTGCTCCTTGCGCAACCCACAGGAAGGACGCTCCGACACCGAGAATGGCGCCGGCGGCGATGACGAACGCGCCGTTAGCGGTATCTACAGAGTCAGTATTGGTCACTGAAGGGGAATGGTTTCATACGGTTGAAGCATAGTAGACTTCCCGAGTACAAGGAGTAGGTCCATCCGCCGATCAGCAAGCACATTCGAGGTCCGACGCGGTCGAAGATAGGTCCGACGATGAACAAAGCAGTAGCGGCTGTCGCAGCGAGCAGGGCTACTGTCGCGTTGGCGGCAACCGTAGGGTCGACTTGTCCGGAGCCTCCCAAGCCGGAGAGAGCGTTGTACATCTGCAACATTAGTGACTGACTTGAGCAGTTGGAGGAAGCCGTACCCCCGGGCAGCAAAAACAGATGAAGCTGATCAGGATGATCTGGAACCACGAGTGTGTGTAGATCCGATATGGAAGCGATCGCTGTTGGGAGTCTGCACCAAACTCCACGGCGGCATCATCGTGATGAATTTCATTGTGGCCCATATTGACTGTCGGTCAGTCAGATCATTCAATTGTGGAAGAGAACAGAGGAATGACAGCCGGTTTTATCTCGCCATGATGAGGCCTGTGTGACCTTGTCCCTTGCTACCAAATTGCGGAGAAACCAAGCCAATGGTCAGCCATCCCTTTGGCGAAGCTTAGTCCGTTCGTATAAAAGATGTCTAACGCATAAGAGATATTCTGTGGTAGATCCTTCCGTTATAACCGCTCACTACTGGTCAGATTGGATATGGATATTCTCCACAGGCATATTCTATACGACCCGTATTGGCACTCTTAACCGAGACAATGTAACCCTGTCAAGTAACCCCCACGCGACACGCGGCTAACCGAGGATATACAATATACAGTTCCTGGAACTACGGCAGGGCCTTTCATCTTACTTATCCACACACATTCTGGATATGCATGGCAACATGGATCTAGCCAATCTGTCACGGCTTCAGACCGAAGCCGTCAATCCCCGGACGGCGCAGATCGATCAGATCTCGACCGTGGATATGTGCCGTTTGATCAACGAAGAGGATCATTGCGTCGCGCCTAGTGTTACACCATGCATCCCCGAAATTGCCGCTGCCATTGATGCGCTAACTCCACGCGTGCGAAACGGTGGACGAGTCATCTACGTCGGTGCAGGGACCAGTGGAAGGTCAGGACCACTGTGTTACCAAGAAATATCTCTCCGAAAGGATGCGTAACTGATCCAGATGACAGACTTGGGATCCTCGATGCATCCGAGATCCCTCCGACCTTCGCTGCTTCGCCATCTCAATTTATCGGGCTGATTGCGGGCGGTGATGCTGCCATTCGACGAGCACAAGAAGGAGCCGAAGACAGTATCGCTGCGGGCGAAGCCGATATGCAAATGTTGAAGCTCAATCCAGAACTGGACAGCGTCATTGGCATCGCTGCATCCGGCCGTACGCCATACGTCCTCGGATGTTTGGCATTTGCGAAACAGATCGGCTGTCTCACCATCGGTGTGGTATGCGCTTCTCCCTCGGCAATGGGATCATCTGGGACAGTCGACTTCCTGATTGCCCCGCTGCCAGGCCCGGAGGTTGTCACGGGCAGTACCCGGTTGAAGGCGGGAACGGCGACCAAGATGGTACTGAATATGCTGAGCACGGGCACCATGATTCGCACGGGCAAGACTTATGGAAACCTGGTATGTGTTGCAGCAAGTTGGAAGAATGCGATTGACCGATTCAGATGGTAGATCTTGTAGCCTCCAATCTGAAGCTGGAACAGCGATCGCGCAATATCCTGCGAAGGCTGAGTGCTCGTTGTGACGGTATGACAGATGCGCAGCTGGACGCGTTGCTGGCAAGATGCAAGGGAAGGGTGAAACTAGCTCTTCTCGTGGCCGAAACGGGAGACGCGGTTGAACAGTGCGAGGAGAGGTTGGCATCTGCTGGCGGCATGCTCGCAAAGGCTTTAGAAATACCTTTGGCCGGGGTCAAGGATGTACAGACCCCTGCCACAGAGAGACAATATGTACTTTGCATTGACGGCGGAGGGACCAAGTGCGCGGCTGTGATCGCGGACCTGCAAGGCACCGTTGTTGGGCGAGGGACGACAGGTCCATGTAATCTGTACGCTTTTATCTATTTTCTTTGAGAATACTGCTGACGTCGACAGGACTGATGGCAACGGCATGGAGGAGGTGATTCAGACACTCATGACTGCTACGAAGGACGCTTTGCCGACGACCCTTTCATCTTCGGACTTCAATCTCAAATCGCTGTTCAAGTCAGTCTGGATTGGTTTGGCGGGCATTGATAGGAAGAATTTCCGAGAGTCACTTCTACCAAGGATCTGCGCGTGCTTTGGATTGACGGAGAAGGAGATTCGGCTGACAAACGACGTGGACCTGCTGGTGGCCGCTGCGAGATCCCACCGAGACTGTTCATCTACAGTCGTCGTCATTGCTGGAACCGGGAGCGTGGCCATGCGATACAACCGAAGTGCCGACGGCAATGCGTACTCCCGAGTTGCTCGATCCGGCGGCTGGGGACACATCTTGGGTGATGAAGGAGGCGGATATGCCATCGGATTAGAGGCGATCAAATACACCTTGACTGTTCTCGAGGAGATGAGACTCGGAATACGCATTGAACCATTGGGAGCTTTGGAGCAGGCAGTTCTTAAAAGACTGGGATGTGCCACCTGCGGGCCAAACCAGATTGATCTCGTCAGTGAGATCCTGGTTCAACAGCACAAACAGACGATCAAAGCCCGTATTGCAGGCGTTGCCGAGGTGGTTTTCAGCATGAACGGACAGAATGACACTTCCTCGGCCATTGTCGGTCGACAAATTGACTACTTGGCAAGTCGAACTGTAGGGCGTCTGTTAGATCCTGCTTGTGCGGGATATGTCTCTACAGAGCGTACCGGCCTGATCCTATCTGGCAGTATCCTCAACAATCAGGCTTACCAGGATCAATTTCTAAATGTCCTTGAAAAGAAAGGTGCTCGATTCGCCTATGTGGAGAGAGTATCTGATGCAGGCCTCCTGGGCGCAAAGCATTTGACATCGTCTTGAGCGTATCTTGTGCGAATGTTCCAGCAATAAAATATAGATTTCCTTCCAAAGACCCTAGTGTGACAACGATTCCCAAATCTGTGTCTTTTCACATCCTGACCGTGATTGCACAAACAATGGAACAAGCGATAGATTATCTAGTCAACCAATTATGTTACCCGAGTTCACAATTAGCCAAGATTCTTATGCACAGTAGAATCATTCCGTTGCCCTGGTCGTGCCTGCGTTTCGATTTGCGTCATCCGATCTCACGTATCAAGTACGGACGCACTTAGGCTTTTACCTGCTCCTTCTCAAGGATCGACGAATATGAAGGCGTTGAGCTCTCGACTGGCGTGCTTGTTGATTCTTCCCCCTTAGTTAACCCTTGATAGACTTGGGTCATCTGCTGGACGCCTCCATCAATGATAGGATACACAATCGCCACTAACATTGTTGCCCACAGCCAGATGACGGCAACCACTACCCAGGCCACGAAGAACTAAGACGATCAGCCTCTTCTTCACATGGGTGTGGCCGAATACTCACCGTTTTGCCAAAGACATATTTGGCCCCGTACATTGGAAGTGGCCACAGAACCCAATGTCCCAAAAATGTGGCTATCGACCAGAACGCGGCGATGCGGCCCCATCTTTTCATTTCTTTGGCGTTGGGTGCTAGAGCCTTCGACGACTGGCTGTGTACTGTCGTAAGATCACCTCCAAGTTCCTCCAGAGCCAGTTTCTCTTTCTTGAACTCCGCCCAATCGTAATTCTGGGGTCGCAAGAAAGTGAGTATGACCGAGTAAACGATGGGTGAAAAAGCAGAGGCAACGGTGCCGTAGACACAGGGCAGAATCTGGCCCGTTGTCGACACAGTGACGGCGCCATAAAAGTGCTTGGCCGTTCCCAGCCAGACCCCCAGACCGGTTGCCAGTCCGAGCACA